GCTAACATTTTGTCAGGAACGATAACATGTGAACAAGATTTGGAATTAATCGCTTCCAAAGAAAATTTAAGCGTCGATTTTGTCGGACAAATTGAATACAAGAATACAAGTTGAATACATTGAATTCAATAAACGCAATTTTATGCTTTTCATATTTGAATTGACAACGACTAATTTCCTCACATTGTTCACAAAAAAAATGCTCTCGACTTTTTCACTGCAACTGTTGTATGAAATTTGTGCCATTTGGGAACTTTTTCTTTTTTATGCCATTTGGGAATTATGCCATTTGAGACGTAATCGTATATTTGGATGAGCGACGATGATGAGTGTTAACAATGGGTGGAAGGAAACATGTGTGAACATCTCGAGCGTAACTATGATCTTTCATTGTGCATTGGTAACCAACTGCACAGATATAATCATGACATAGCCGATGACGATAATGATGACTGACACATACCTGTTCTTCTTCCCTCATACTCCTTACCGTTCCCTTCCTTCCCTCTCCTTCCCTCTCCTCTCCTCTCCTTTCGTTGCTTCAGTTGACCCTTAGTGTTACATTAAATCGGCCAAACACCAACAGCTAACATTGCTCCACCTTTTCAGTGTCAAGTAACTCTCCTTGTTTATTATTACATGCAACTTACTAGAAGTAGTCTCCATAGTCAGTCAACCATATTATTCAACAAAACATCTGCAGTAAATCCACCAAACTGATCTAGAAACACAACACAACACAACATCAACAATTAACTTGCTCTTTTTCTTATACTTTCTCTTACTTTTCTGTATCAGTCATAACATACGTTGTTTCCTTAAGTACTTCTATTACTACCAAGTTTGTGTTTATTTGTATGCCAGCCAATTTATTTTGGAGCGCTATCAATCTGTTTTAGATCTACTAAGCGAAGCTCAAAAACAATAGCAAAATGAAAAGAAAAGCAAGGCATTGCAAGAACATTTAAAAAAATTGCGATAGTTAGCTATAAGTGAAAAAAATGCAAGCGTTTTCTCGCTCTGGCTATTTGTCGTTGTTTTTGAAGTGGTTTTTACGGTTGTTTTTTCGTAGAAATTGAACTGAAGAGTTCTTAATTATTATTTTATGTTTTGGGATGTGATAAAAATTGATTTAAGTCCTAAAAAGCTGTCTATCTTTTAAACTTGTAAGAACCTAATTTTCAAAGCATGGACTTTTCCTGAAGTAATCAATTTTTATTCTAATTGTTTATTGTCCTGTTTTTTTGTTAATTTACAAACTCGGGTTTCGATAATTTTTTTTTAAATTGTAAAATTCAATAAACGAAGCGAACACTGTCTTGATGGTTTTTTTCTTTGTTTTTTTAGAAGTATATGGTAAAAACATTTGAAAGCTTGGAATTGTTATGGGTAAAAAAAATGCATGAATTTTCTCGCTCTTGCGCTGAAGTTTTTTGTACGGTTCGAAGGATTTTTCACTTTTGTTTTAAATTTTGGACCCGTTGTCTTGCTATCAAACTGTATTTGAAGTCCTTGAAGAGGCTCTATATTTTGTAATATTATGAGAAATTTTGCTTTTTTCATTGAACTGTAACAACTGATAGGCTCCTTCCCACTTGATCTAGAGTTAATGCGGTTGCTTTGCACCGTAAGATCTGGGTTTCGTTTCCCGATCAGACATTTTTTTTAGTATGTTTGAAACTAAAAAATTGAGTTGTCGGGACGTTCTTTTGTCTGATGTTTTAATGGTTTTGATCTTTTTTCTATAATTGACAGTCGTCCTCTCTTTTGTCACTTTACTAACTTGGATTTTGATAGTTTTCAATTTTTTTTAGTAAGAGACAAGGAACGCCGCGATGAATCATGTATAAGTCTTGATATTTTGTTTGCTTGTTTTTCAAAACAATTTCTAAATTGTTCATAATCATATGTATTTTTTTAGCGGTTTGACGTTTTATTTGTGTTTAAAGGAAAGCAAGCTCTAATAGCTATCAGCAATCGTGCAAAGTTCACGAAAAGCATGATCGACTTCTTGTTCCGAAAGTGGATTTAAATGTTCAGATTTCCCAGCAGAATAAAAAACTGATCTATTGATTCAATTTTCTCAATTTGTTTTGCATTTGAAGCTACTGCACAAGTTCCTTTTCATGACAATTAATTTATGTTTTTTCATTTTCGCCTCAATTGGCGCTAACAAATTTAGTGGACACTCGACAAAACATTCTAACGCTTTCTTTATTGCTGATGCGTTTTCAGGTCCTTTTTTCACACCATTTCAAATTCTTTTATCCTTGGTGTTCCGACCATTGAAAATGGGGAGCAACCTTGTATTCGAGTGTTTAAGTTTTTTTTCAACGCAAAATCAGGTACCACAAATAATCATCGGACTGTATTGAGTTATATATCATATTACAGCCCTTGCAGTTGTGATTCGAACCCTATTTTAAAGTTCCAAAAATATTCACCACTGTCGAGCAAACCCGGTTAAAAAATTTGGATTTTTCGTCTTATTTCGAGCGACTAAAGCGAGCAGTCTTGTTTTATTTGCTTAAAACCTTTCACAATAGCTTAAATTAAAAGTTAAAATCTTAGTTTTTCTTGAATAACGTTAGTTTTACTTTGAGTATTTCAGCGCCTTTTTTGGAATCAAAGTTTGCACAACTTCAAAAGTTTGAAAAAATTTTTTAAATACTTTTTCACTTTTTTGTTTTTCTAGTAAGCTTTCTACAAAAATTGTTTTTAAATTTAATTATTTTACTATGAATGTCGAATATACTTAACCCCCAGTTTTTTTTATTCAGCTCCTTTTATTACACCACGCCGAAAAAAGGACAAAAATTTGAAAAAATTTGGTCGTTTTTTAAAGACTATGGTCGGAACATTCTGTGCTATTAGCACAGTATCCGCCTATCCTTGTTCTTACTTGTGCGCTTAATTCCGCTTTGAATGTATACTACTTCATGAACGCATGGCAAAATAAGTATTAAGTTTTCATAAAACAGCTTTCATGAAAATGTATGGTGTACGGTTTTTTTTTTCATTTATTTTTTTGACTTCGGGAAGTTTTATAATTATTCTTTAAGTCCAATTCTGCCGGTTTGCAACTAAACGATATTGAATGGAAAGATTCAATTCCTGTGGCTGTCGTAGGGTTCAATCCTAAAAGATTTTGACGCTTTTTGGTTTTGTCCATTTTCTCCAAACCGAACCTGCCATTTCTGAAATTAGTAGTAGAAAAACAGCTATCGACTTGTATGAGTCCATCTTTTGACATTTTGACCGTTTTTCGGATATATATTTTCTCGAACACAGCCCTGCGAAATCTGAGTTGATGGGTTCAATGGGAAAAAAACGGGTTGCAAAGATATCCCCGGCATAAGCGGCTAATCCCTAGTTATGGTGTTGAAAAGAAACTGCTATGAACATGGTAAGAGTGCAATGTTTTGACATGTTCACCTTTTTCGTATATACATCTTTTTGTAAACAACCCTGCCAAATCTGAGCTTAAGGGTTCAATGGAAAACAGATTGTAAGGAACCTCTCGGCATAAACAGCTTCTCCTTAATTATGGCCTAAAAGGGGCACCACTATGGACTTAGTTAAAAGCCATTTTTTGAAATTTTGATCCTTTCGGCCATACATCATCTTCTTGAAAACCAGCCTGCACAAAGTCTAGATTCAAAATTCAATCAAAAAACAGCTAATGGGGACTTCCACTGTGTAAGTAGCTACCAACATGGAAGTAGGGAAACCAAAATGGAAGTAGGGCAAGCCCAATTTTTGACATTTTCGTAGTTTTGTTTGGACTACTCTTTTTCTTCAAAACGACCTCGCTAAATCAGAAATTAAGGGCTCAATCAGAACACTTCTTCTTGTTAATCTCACCATTGGCGGGCAGTAATGTTTACACGTTTTGGCAGATTTCTGAAAAGCTATCCCAATATTCGCCAATATCAAGCAATTGGGCGTTCAATATTCAAATCCAGCCTGGAGCCGCATACAGCTTCAGTACAAAAACAAAAAACTTTGGTTATAGCTTCGATTTTTTATAATAAAAGTGTCCCTCATAATACAAACAGCACCCCATCCCCTTCAAAAATTTCAATTTCCTCAGTTTTTACATGTGCTTTTGAATGCTTTAACTAGCACCGATTCTTTCTCACTAAATCATTTTTGAGAAAACTTCTGACAAAATCAAAAAGCGATTTAATGACTACTTTGCAAGAAAAGTGATAGTTAAGGATCCTAAAAGTTAAACTTTTGCTTAAATACTTTGCTGTAGCAAATGAACAAGGGAACCTAGAGAAAAACATGTACAAATTACATCGTAATAATCAGACGCTATCATTTCTAATTTAATCTCTGCCAGCAAATTGTTCGTTCAATTGATACTGTTTTCCTTTTAATTTCCCCAGTTCTAACTAAATTTTCTTGCAAAGTGAGTTCAATAGCGAAAACATGTATTAAGCAGAAAGCAAGTATAATCATAAAACATAGGATTTTTCCACGGAATAATCATGAAAATTATGTAGAAGCAACAGAGAGATAATCATCAGTTTTGAAGAAGATTTTGTTGAATTTCTTTCAATATCTTATAATTTTCAAGACAAATTTACACCATTTTTAGTCAATTTTAGCAGTTAACTGTTCATTTTTCATTACTGATCTGAATTTTATTTTTATTAACGTGAAAAATTTCTCAGAAGTTGTAATTTTCGTTCGATTTCGGGTTAATCATTGAGAATCACACTGAAACCTGATCATTCCTTATCTTAATACATTGGAAAACCTATTCCCCATCTTAATACAAATAATTTCTAATCCTTATACATAGAGAATTTTATACACTATCCTAATACATGGGAATATCGGCACCGAAGCTCTATCTTAAAACATGGGAGTCACTCACCACCCCCGCCCACTTCAGCCACACAGTTTTTGAAATTGTTTATGCCATTTGGGAATTATGCCATTTGGGAAGTTTTCCGTTGCGATTCTATCATACACGCGAGATAACTCAATGACACAAAAATAACTGTTTATTCGCAAAATATCTGATTAAAACCAATATTCAAATCACAAGCAAAACAATTTAATCAAACTACACAACAAAAAAACAAGCACTCGCTGTTCCTCTTTTCGCGCAACTCCTTTGAAACACTTTTGGAATAAGATCGTAACTATCAGGAAGTTTATACGAGCTCATAAGTTATTCCAAGGAGAGTTGTAGAGAAGAAGAGCGAAACAGTTATACAATTAGTGTTTTAATCTAGCAGAAAGCTAATATCTTCCTTGTTTTTGTTCACGTTTCCACGTGTTGACGAAGTTAAAACTGGCACCGAGCGGCCAGATTCTCCGTCCAATCTGGCAAACTTCGAGCTGTGAGCCTTCTTTTCTTTTCCCACAGGCGGTGCTCTTCTCAATGACGTAGTCGAAGCTACTGTCATAGTATCTGAGAGAATAAAACCACGAAACTCACACCGCAGAATTGATTTTCAAATAGACAGGTAGGAAAACTATTCACCTTCTCATAAAACAACATTAAATTGATAAAAAAAACAAGCACCTGCTGTTTAATTGGTTTTTTTTTTCAAAATTTAAATTGATAAAAAGCTATTTGAATTTCAAGATAACATTGTCACTTTTTTTGATGAAACGGATCGAGTTTAACATCCTCCCCCGTCGAACCTCCTCCCTCCCGAAGCTTTAAGCGATACAAGATTTAAGCACTGATATTTGGAGTCAAGATTCCCAACCCCTGAGAACCTGAGAATACTCTGACAGCCCTAGAATTTTTATGAAAAAAAATTAAATTTAAGTTTACTGAAATTTTTTTTAAAAAATCACAAAAAACGTCATATCTGCAAAACTACAAGGATTGAGCAGTCAAATTCAGAGGCAAGCTTCGCAATCCCTGAGAGCACCCTGACAGTTTCCAACAAAATGATTAAAATCTTCAAAGTTTTGGAATTTTTTAAAATCTTACGTTTTATTGAAATTTTTTTTAAAAATCATAAAAACGTCATATCTCCAAAACTACCAAAAAATTGAGCAGTGTTATTGGGAGGGAACACTCGCAGCGCCTAAGTGCACTCTAACCACCGCCAACTACAGGATTAGGAATTACAAAATTTATGAATTAATTTGGAAACTGGGTTTTATGAAAATTTCTATAAAATCAATGAAGACTTCATATTTCGAAAACCAACAAGATTTGAGCAGTCATATTTGGAGGCAAGATTCGCAACTCCTGAAAACCTCTGAATTATTTGACAGCCCCACTACAGAATTGAAAACTTCGAATTTTAATGAAAAAAAAAATAATTTAAATTTTCGGAAATTTTTTTTGAAAAAATCACAAAAAACGTCATATCTGGAAAACTACAAGGTTTTGAGCAGCCATTCGCAACTACTGACAGAGCTTCACTATCGAGATAGGGATTTCAATTTTGTGAAAATTTTTATATCTAAGTTCTCTGGAAACTTTTGAAAAAACAAACCTAAAAAACGTCATTTCTCAAAAACTTCAAAGATTTGAACAGTCATTTTTAGAGGCAAGCTTTGCGACCCCTGAAAGTACCCCGACAGCGCCCAAATACAGGGTGAAAATTACAAAAAAAAATGAGAATTTTTTTAAAATAAAAATTTCACGAAAATGGCCGTATGAAATAAACACTGAATTTAAACTGGAAAATCGAAAAAAATCTTAACCATTGCAATATATGATATAGCTTAAACGTGAAAAAAATCTTTCACTAAAGATGCAAAATTATCATGCTTAAACATGGGAGATATCTGTCACTCGCATTTAAATATAGTATAGATAGATAGATATAGATACTCAGCTAAATCAAGCGAAGCTTTTAAAGACATTAAGCTTTCTATCATTTAAATGCAGTAGATTTTGGATCAAATTAACATCCCCTCTCCTATGCACCCCTTTCTCAGTGCAGTTCATAAGGGGAGAGAGAGAGAAGACGACTTAAATTCCCTATAATGGGTTTTAAAAAAAAAACAAAATAAACATAAGTTTCATTGAACAATAATTTTCAGTTAGTTATGAGCTGCATGTGAGGCATTTACAGTTTAGAAAGCAAGTAGAGCTAGACATGGTGCAAACAGATTTGGTAGTCCAGAGTGAGATCAGGTAGGAGAGAAGATCCCCTTTAAACTTTCTGGGCTGATCAAAAATGTTGATGTTCGTGTTTCTAGAGATATAACTTGCTTCGTCTACTACACGATAGAAGTAGCCTCTGGATGTAGAAAATTTGCTACTTGAACGACATTGTAAAAATCACTTAATTTTCTTAACGTAAGCCCGCTTTACTAGGAAAAGCAAAAGACAACAAACTTAAATAGTTCGAGCAAAAATAAATATGACCTCACCCTAAGTCCTCAGTTGGTAACATTGAGGAAGCACAGAAAGATGTCGTAGACCAGATCGCTATTCAGAAAACCCAGAAGCCCACTAATTCAATTTTTTGTGGAAAGAGAGAAGCTTACGTAAATTTGTGACCGTTCCAAACCACACTTGGTAACAATATAAAAGAATACTCAAGACACACGAGTTGAGTAAATTGTAATTCACAAAAGGTGAAACAGAGAAAGGAATAGTGTGTTTGATGTAATGAGACTTTTTTGCCAGTTTAATGGATATGTGTGTGTGCATGCCAATCAAGTGAAGAACATATTGTGACGCTCAAATCTTTAACAATTTCAACATGTTCAACATTGTGGCCATTTAAAGCAACAGTAAATGTGTAAAGTCATTGCGAAAACTTAACAGTTTGGTTTTTGATGCATGGAATACCTTGTTGTTCCGTATGGACCACAAGCAGAAGCTATCAACATCTTGCTGAAGGCTATCTTTGCAATTACCACTGAGTTTGGCATCATCAGCAAATAATAAACACAAACAACTAACAGCTTCATCAGGTAAGACAACTATGTAAATTAAAAACAGAAGAGGCCCTAAAACATTCCTTAAGGCACTCCACTTGGAATAGGCAGGGGGGGGGGGGAGTGAAATAACGCTTCCAATACGCACACATTGAAATCTGCCCCTGAGGTAAGATGACATATGATGAATAAAATGGGCGTCAAATGAAAAAGATTCAAGTTTTTGTAATCAAATAGTGCGGTGAACGCGCTCAAAAGCTTTCTGAAAGTCTCAACAAACACAAGCAGGAGTATTGGAATCTCCGTACATGTATAACTGGTCAACAAAGGCAAAGAGTGTTAAGAAATTGTTGACTTGATCCAAAATCTACTGCATTAAATTGATAAAAAGCTCAGTGCGCCTTATCAACATCCCCTTTAATTACTTACCCTACAAAAAACGGAGCCAACAAACAGTTATTAAAGAGCAAATGAACGCAAGAAAAAAGAGGTGGCGTCCCTCATGCTTGAAGGACCGAATGCTTGAAATTAATTTTAGCTTACTGTCAGCCAATCAGAATTGAGTATTCAAAATCTCAAAGTAAAGTATTCAAAATCTCATTAATCTTGATGATTTTCTGAATAGTATTGCGGTTGTAACCCGCAATTTGTAATGTTTTTGAGTATTTTCAACTGATTTAATACATTTTCTGTTAATATTGACTTCGATTTTGTGAGTAAGGCATTTAGGCAATAGAAACGCTTAGCCATTTTGATTGGTTCAAACTTTTCAAGCATTCGGTCCTTCAAGCATGAGAACCCTCCAAAAAAAAACTGACAGTGATATTAATAGAGCAAAACAAACAACACTTTTTAGCGGTCAATTGAACTAGGTTCACAACTAGGTTGACCTCAAACCGAACAAAATAAGACTAACTAATTACAGGTTACGTAGCAGTATTTAGACAACCGCGTATTCCTACTCGTCAGTAAGCAGACAAATACTGTATTAACCAATCAGAATCGAGATGAGAAAGCAAACTTTCGAAATAAATAATTATTACTCATTGATTTCTTCCCTGTCTCGATTCTGATTGGTTGATACAGTATTTGTCTGCTTACTGACGGGAAGAAATACGCGGTTGTCTAAATACTGCAGTAATAATTGGGAGAAAATTCAATATTCGGCTAATAATTTTCGGGGTTTACGAAACTAGACAAACAAATTAGACGATCAGAAAATAACGGAATTTAGACGATAACTTGCGTGAACTTTGTTTAGACTTATATTAACTTTTGGTTGTAAATACTGGTTGTCCAACCACAAATCAGGATATTAATTTCACAGTTGTATAATTTACTTGTTTGATTTAATGTATGTTTCATAATCAACTTACAAAAATAATTTTAATCAGTTCTGTGATCATATACTCTTTTTGCTTTTGTGCAAGTTCATTCAAAACAACAAACGTTGTTGGCCCAGTTCTTGTCGTCTAAATTCGCAAAAATTTGTCGCCTAAATTCCGTTTTTTTAACGGTCGTCTAATTTGTTTGTCGCCTAATTTCCTAGGCCCCTAATTTTCTTCTAATTGGGTTCTGTCAAATGTTTAATATAAACTAAACATGGAATGTATTGTGTTGTAGTATACAATTTATAGTATCTCTGCTTCTTAAAATCTTTCTCTGACTGCTTTAATATTTTTACTATACATGATCAAAAATTTTACATTACACATTGACAAAAGCTCCATCGACGACTAGCTTTGGTCGCATGCTCTACTTCATAATTCATGCGGGAGAAAACAATAAGACTGGTTGGCTTACTTTCCAAGGACTCTCTCTCGTCTTCGTCTTCTTTGATAATAAAGGAGGGCGTCTCCAGTTCGTCTGGGTCATCAGCCCCAAACACTATCTGTGAGTATCGCGCTCTACTTCTCCCTAAACAAACTCAATTGAGCCCTAAGTTTTCTACTATCAACCGAAAACAAACTGATATATACAAAAATTCGAAGATTAGGACCCCATTGGTTTTTGCGTGACTACATAAGAGGCTCACTTTGATATAAATTTGTCATCAAATGACCCAGTAATTTTATCCTACTTTTTGATTAACTGAAAAGACAAAATGATCCGATTATGCTAAATAAATTGCACCATATTAACTATCCTAAAATTCCAAGCAAGTATTGCATTCATCATTTTAGTCTACACAGAGCTGATACTTCGCTTCGCAAACACTAGCGGGAACACGACAAAAAGCAACACTATCAAGTGCAATAAGAAAATTTAGAAATAAGCCTCGAATTAGTAAAAATTCGGCTACGTCTCGGATTCGAACCTGGGAACTACAGATTAAAAGTCTCACACATTAACCACTCAGTCGAAAACTCTTAATTTGTAACAAACACTAGCCACAAAAAAAGCTGAAAACAGATGCCATGCAAGTTCCAATGCTACAGTGAAATTTCTAAATAGGTGAAGACTTTTATTTGCAAGTTAGGTTTGCAAAACAGAAGGTTCATAATAATACACTATGCTGATCTCCAGTGTGAAAATCATCTCAATTAGATAAAAATGCATTTGAAATGATGCTATTTATTCCTATCAACCAATCAAACATTCTAATCTGATTAATGTTTGGAAAATGTAAAGTGGAAAAGAGATAAGACTGATTTCACTCACTTTCTTGCTCCTTCAGTTTCTTCTCCAATTCCTCGATCTGCTCCGCCTGCTTTCTGAAAAATTATCAAATCAAAGACGAAAAAAGTTCAGCTAACCACGAATAAATTTCGAACACCCAGTAGCTGTAGCAACAAAATAAGAAACAACAACAGAAAAAGGAGGGAAACAGCCAATTGTGTCCTTTTGTATTTAGCAGTAAGAAAAACGCACTCTAATTTCTGCTTCAAAGCTAGACACTCGTGTCTCTTGCGCTTGTAGTTGGCGATTGCCTCGTCATACATCTGCTTCATACTCTCTGGCCCGTAAGTCTCCTCCGCCGTCAGAGGCCCCATCGGAATGCGCTTCTTCAGCCCATAGATCTCCTTTTTAAACTCTAAACAGACACAACCACACAATGCTGTCCTTTGACATGTGCAACTTGTTTGAAGGTTTAATGTGATTCAGCTTCCAACTTCTTATAAACATTTAATCAAAACATTACCTTTTGAAGCATTTACAAAGGAGCCAAACGGAGCAAATGCCAAAAAATAACAACACCCAAACGTCCAAAATGAAATTCAATTTCTCGAAAACCAGCCAATAAACACGACTGTCAGCGTCAAACCAGCATTAACACTAAGGAGAGCAAAGACTAAGCAGATGTAATTTGGAAGATTCTGTAGCTCTAATTTTTTGTCAACATTTTTTGGCGACTCAACGGGCCTAATTTCAAGTTTCATGTACTTCCCACTAACACATGAAAATCTATTAAGACAAATATGTTAAGTGAGGTAGTTAACTTATACTACATAAACCGAAACCATTTAAGCCGAAGAAACATAAACGCCAAAAAAACAGACAAAATTACACGAAATCGATGAATTCAATTATCTGCACCATTACAAATGATAGATGTGAAACTCCTAAAAGTTTAAGGAAGCTGAAACTTTGAGAAAAAGACAAGCTGCGAGAACTTAAAAAAGCGGAAACTCGATAGTCCAAATATTGGATTTTTAAAGAGCAGAAAATTTTCAGAACGCAAAAGACACCGCGCTACTGCCTGGACCCGAACACGAGGATTTTGTATTCGTAAGCATGGAAATTATCTTTAGGCTCCATTATTCAAAACAAGGTCCATTTTAAAATAAAACAAGATACCAAAAGATTCACTGATTCTGTTTAAAAAAAGTTGTTAATCTAAACAACTATGTTCCAATTTTAAAAGACTGTTAATTACAAAAGCGGATAAAGTAAAACAACTTAAACAGACTGAGTCACACCTTTCAACTCCATTGTAGAATTGGCGATTCTACTGTATTACATGCCATAGTAACCTGAGTGTAAGATTGATTAGTCATTAAGTAAAGTAGAACAGTAAACAAAGAGCCGAGCTCAAAATAGTTCAATCTTCGAAGAATTCGTCACTCCTATTACAGAAAAAAGAAAAACAACAAAATCAGCGAACCCCTTCAGACGGAAACTAAGGAAGCCAAGGTTATGAAACTCAGAGAGCCGCGACTAGAGATGATTTGACCCGGGCAGATGAAAAACGAGACCCCTCAGACCCATGGGGCGCAAGTGATAACGGTCCCCGGAATTGTAAATGGCCCTATCAGAACTCGGCAACTAGCGGTAGTATTGGGCTCAAATTCTAATATGTTGTAGGTCTCGCTGAGGGAAGCTTAAGTTTAGAACTCCAAACCTCCAGGACCCCCACTTCGGTTTGATGCCCAGTGTAAAAAAACCCACCCCTAACTTCCGGAAGCCGATTTTCGGGCCCCAAGGAACTCAAGGAGCTTGAACTTGGAAGGAAGATAGATAGCGGCAAGATACATCAGACGCTATAATTCGAAACCTTTCCTACGGTTGAATCGGAAGCTGTTGGCACTGGAAAAAACACCCCCTTAGACCGGAACTAGGCAATTTACGCAGAATAATGAACAACAATATACTGATTTTATCGCGACAATAGATACTAGGCCCCACCGCCGGAAAAAGAACCCTTGTAAGTAAACTTTCCCGCTACTTCTTTCTGTGTTAATAGGGTTTTCCCGGGAAAAGTGATAATGGATACTAGAAATGAGATAACTTGGAAAGTATTAATGTAATATGTTTAAAAATTGGTAATTCCGACCTAAAACACACCCTGAACCTGTTCGAGGAAGCTTGACTCCGGTTGACCTTTGGACGTTATGACCCAAAAATTGCATAGAAAACCCTAGGATTAACATAGGAAAGTGGCGTATTCCCCAGCGTAACCCATGGAAATAGGAATCGAACACCTACTAAAAATTGTGAAGAAACTTATCTATTATAGTCTTAAGCTGAATCTGATAGATATAGTTTTATATCGCCATCTTGGAGTAGTAGAATTAATTCAAAGTGGACTCGGTAAATATTGGGTTCAGCTTAGCTTGGCGAATGATCTATTAATAGCAATTCAACTTGACTTTAATAAAGTCCGAGAGGAAATTGGCAGTAGTAGGAACGCGGCGTGGGAATTAGATATCCTAAATAGCATGAAAGGACGAATTACTTGACTCCCCGGAGGAACCTTTTTGGCCTAAATTGACCCCTAATAGACGAACTAAGTTCTCCTGATAGCTAGAAGGTCGGAAACTTTAGATGCTTGACATGAAAAAGCTACCCATGAAAAGGGTCTCTCCCCTACCCTTGGGAGGTCGGAATGTTAACGGGATAAAAAAGACCTTGAGAAAATCATGGTTTGGAGGTTGCTTGAAATCCAGGGTATCTAATCATACCGGGCATCTAATCAGCGTGAAAAGATTGATAAAAACTTAATTGAATACGTGGCTTTGGTGAGAGGAGGGTGCACGTAGTCATAAACATGTGCTGACGGGTGATTTAAGCGGATGTCAGGGTGATTTAAACGGATGTCAGGACTGATAGGGAAAGGCGTGATTTAACTAAGACTAATTGTAAATAAAGATAAGGAAAGAAGAGTACCGGAGAGCCTTCGTGAGTTAGAACACATACACTAAAAGAGCGAACGGTTGGTTCTCAGTTAAAGAGAAAACGATTGTGCGAGCCGAGAAAAATAGTTGGTCCGTGGAGGACAAATACTTGAAGCGAGGCTAGTTGTTTCTCACAATTTAGTAAAGGGTTGAATTAGTAGTGTGGGCGGGTTGCGCTGCTGGAGTAGGCGAGTTTGGAATTATGTCAAGCGAGCATTGACGATAGAGTTAACAAGCCAGTGAACGGAACGAAACGCGGGCTTCGTTATAGAAGTTGTTACATAGTAGTTAGCTAATTAAAGACATTGTTAATTGCTTTCATTTTCCTTGCGACTGAGAATTAACTTATTGTGCCCACGATTTGCTGAACTAGCTAGAAACGCAAGAAGAGAGCCGAAAAAAGCATAAGCCAAGGGGGAAGTTGCGTAATCCTTTGATCGGCCGATTCAGTCTGACCACCAAGATAACCTGTTCGTGATTGTGGATAATATCGTGTCCTTGTTTCCTCCGCTATTACACGGTATGAAGGGTAGAAACACTGTAGTCGCTAAGTAGAATGAAAGCCAGCTTAAAGAAGACGACCCCCCGAGAAATTCTACATTGGCTCTCATGGGTAGGCTTTCTTGATCGAGCGAAAAACTATCTTTGCATTCGGCAACAACGAGTGTTAGACTAATTGACTGAATCACGAAAAAGAAAATCGATCGGGACAATCTAAATGCACACGGAGTGTTATTCAAAGCAAAAATAGACAATCTGTGGTGATAATCTGTTGTACAAATCTGTTGCACAATCTGTAGTGCAAAAATAGCCTAATTGTTGTGATAAACTTATTAAATAGTTTCAGGTTATTATGAATTGAAAGGGCAGCCGTGGTGGCCCTTAATAAATTAAATGGTTATTGTTATTGGAGCAAGCTCTCTACATCATTCCCTCGAGAAGTGGTGAAAGACACAAGCAAAATTGTCCAAAAATCGAGCAAAATTTATCCCTAAATCAGAAAAAATAATCCTGTGGCACGATATTGTGAACGAGCTGCTCCCTGTCACCTCCGGAAACAGTGTTTGACGGACCTACGTCCTCCATTCAACCCCCGGAGCTATCGCTTGGATACGGCCGACGACTTTTGGAGTTTGACTTTTGGACTTTTGAATCCCTGTAGTTTGGACGTTTGCGTCTGCAGGCGGTATCTTCTCGTATTACCTTCTCTCATTCACTTCTTATTCTTATTCCTCTCTTCCTACTGGATTATCTTCTTGCACTGCAATGGATGGTCACCAGAAACGCGATTACTTTCCAACAATAGAAGAACTTGTACACGCCAACGCCGAACACTTCAATAAAATCACATCCGAGCAAACCAAAGAAAGCCTACTATGCCTCCTACGGGAGTCCAAATCACAGTTACGAACGGCAAACAGGCACCAAGAACTTCTACTGAACATTCCCAAACTTGAAAATTCCATTAATGATCTTTCCACCCAGGTCAAAGCAAGTTGTTCAGCAGAAGCCAAAAGTGAAAGCAAAAGAGTGAAAAAGTCTCTGATGGAAATCACAACCAAAGTCAATGGATTAACCTCCACCACAAACCCAGCTGATTTTCCTCCTCCTGACAACGATGAACATCGAAAAGAATCAGTAGTAATACTGAACGTGCCCGAAGTGACAGATTTCAAGTCTCCATCTGATAGACTCCTCAAAGAAAACTCAAATGTAGAAAAAGTTCTGAAGATTGTGAAGTGCGCGGATGCTGTCATCACTGATGTATACCGTAGAGGCTCATTAATCAAAAACGCAAGAAAGCCTCGTCCTCTCATCGTCCAATTTCACAATGCAATAACCGCCAAACGGGTCAAGGCTTCCTCTGGCCTGCTCAAGGACTCCTCCTTCTTCCTTCGAGGCGACTGCACCAAAGAAGAAAGAAATAAGAGGAAGCACTGCTTAAAACACGCTACCTTCTCTCTCCAAAGGGCATCAGGAAAGAAGACATGAAAATCAAAAATCATACTCTCTACTATAAAGACAAACAGCTTGACACACTAGCCGATGTTGACACTCTCCATTCCACAATCTCTCAATTGTGACTGACAACTCCGAGGAACAATATTTCCCTGATGATGATGAATGTCCAAAGCCTTCTTAGTCTTCAGAGAAGATTACCGTATCTGAATTTTTTCACTTCTTACAACCCTGATATCCTCTTACTATCAGAAACATGGCTAGACAGTAACCACCCTGATATGAGTGTCTTTCCTGCGAGCAACTATAATATTATCAGTCGGTCAGATCGAACAAATGGGGCGCACGGAGGCGTCCTCATTGCTGCCAATAATTCTGTATTTAATAGTGTTGACTTCACCAGCATTGGAGTTGAAAAAGACTTTGCCTGTGCCTGTATCATCACATTCCACTCTACAATGTTGTTGATTATCACGGTTTATAATCCGCCAAGAAGCAGCAACTATGCTATTTCGCCGCAGACTCTGAGTAGCTGTTTATCTGAATATTTTACCCTGTTTACAGAATCTTTCAATTCCTCAAATAGTCTTCACTATGAAACTTTAATACTCGGTGACTTCAATTTCCCTGATACTGACTGGCCGACCTATCAATCAACCAAAGCTGTTGACCTTCCTTTCCTTAACTGGTGCCAGGAGAATAATCTCCAACAAGTTCTGTCCTTCCCGACCCACAATTAAGGCAATCTTCTGGATATTATACTTGTAACCAACACTGATATAATAGAACACATCGAAAACCCGAAATGGAGCAACCTATCAGATCATGCTGGTGTACTGTTTCAACTCTCGAAAAGCCACTACAATACAGCCGTCATCTCCAATCAACAGCTAGCCTGGAGCTCCTTCAATCCTGAACGTTTCGCCCTATCCCTCCCACCCATTACTCGTGTGGCACAGGCCATTGACTGTATGTCTTTGAATGATTTCAGTGCAGAATGGACTAGCATGGTCCACAATGCACTTTCTTCTACGGTCCCTCGTAAACGCAAGAAACGCGCCACTAGGCCTTTTTATTATTCCTCTCACACAATGCACATGCTTAATAAACTAGAAACCTTGGAGAGGAAGAAGCACAAATTGAACTCAATCTTCAATGAAGAGTTCCTACACGCTACAAGAAACAATTTTCTCGAGTCGGCAGAGCTCGATAAAGTCGTTCTGCTAAAAGACATCTGCTGGATGTCTACATCAGAAGCTTTTAAGTTTCTGAAACGATTCTCGGGGAAAGCCCCCCTGCCATCTAAACTCACCTGGGAAACTAAATTCGCAACCGATGACCGGAACAAAGCCGATCTTTTCAATGGATTTTTCGCTTCCGTGTTTAATCCAATTACAACAGATAATCCTGAACCACCTGGTGACCAACAACTCAGTATATTTTTGAATGATTCAAACTTCGATGTAAAAAAAGTTGAAACACTCTCGTCGAAATGCCCTGATTCACATTCTCAGTCTTACGATGGCCTTCCGTCCTGCCTGTATCACAACGCCTCAGCAGTATTAGCCCCTTTTGCTTACATTCTTTTCTCCTTTGTTCTATCCTCTTGTGTGTGGCCCACTACATGGAAATGCAGTTACATAACACCTATCTTCAAAGATGGCTCTCGGTCTCTTATTTCCAATTATCGCCCCATTAGCATTCTACCTCGGCTCTCTCTCATTCTGGAGCGACTAATTTTCAACTTTCTTTATCCTAGAATAAAGTCGCAGTTGTCCAAGCAACAACACGGCTTCCGAAAACATCGATCCACGGTTACTCAACTACTAGCCTATCTTGACAATATCTACAATCAACTTGAGAACAATAAGAAGCCCTCCGCGGTATACTTCGATTTTCAAAAAGCATTCGACAAAGTGCCTCATGTCGTTTTATTGCACAAACTGAAAAAAATGGGCCTCGACCCAAGTTTCATTGAACTCATCCGGAGTTACCTCGCTGACAGAACTCAATGTGTGAACATTAACGGGGTTCTCTCTTACATTGCTTCGGTTACTAGTGGTGTTCCTCAAGGGAGCGTCCTAGGTCCGTTGTTATTCATTATATTCATTAATGACCTCCCAGACTAATGTAAATACTCCGACTGTTTTCTGTTTGCCGATGATAGCAAAATGATTTCGACAGAATCACCCATAGCAAAGAATCTACAACACGATATTGATAATTTCCTTGCTTGGTCTATCGAGAACTCAATGACTTTTCACCCAGACAAGTGTAAAACGATGTTATTCGGAAAAACTGACGACACATATCAACTCACAATTGGAAATCATCAGATATCGACCGTCTCTTGCATCAAAGACATTGGTGTATGGGTGGCCGATGACCTGTCGTGGAGACCGCATATTGAAAAAAAGTTAGCTTCAGCCAACAGGAGTTTGTTCGTGTTGAAAAAAAAACATCCCAATTACCTGCCCCACCACTACCAAACTCCAACTTTATAAGTCATGTGTTCTCTCAGTTATTCTTTATGCTTCTCAAACCTGGTTCCCAGACCTTACCAGTATCCGCAAGCTAGAAGCGTTCCAATGTAGAGCGCTAAGATGGAGTACACGCAACTACACAGCTCCTTACAACATTCTACTCCGTGTGACAAATATGTTGCCTATTTCTCTCATCCACCAACTCAATGATCTCACCTCACCCTTTTCAACAAACTTCTCAACGACAAATTAGATTTTGATTTGTTCCACTTTGTCTCTTATGCACCGGAAATGGCCGGTCACCGATCCTCCGATACAGTTATGTTTGAGATCCGACGCAATAGGAAACGACGAACTGGGGAGTCCTTCTTTAATCGTGTGGTGAAACTTGCGAATCATTTTCTCGCCCATCCTGGTCTTGGAATCGACATTTATGATAGTCCCGCTACCTGCCGCTACCTTCAGGAGAAACATTCAAACATTTCTATTCAATATCACAGCGAATGCATACTCAATGCAAAAATCGTGCTCTTGGTTTATTAACTAAAATTGTTCTACTTGTACGTCTTGATTTTGTTATTACATTTCTTTATACCTTCATGGAAGGAATTTAAGTCTTTCTGTTGTTGTTGTTAAAGCAAAAATAGACAATCTGTTTCTATTGGGAGCCGAACTAGAAAGTGTTGGCAATTCGAACTGGATCAACTATGTTGAGTTCAGAATGATGCATCCGAGGAAAGAGCCGATGAACTACTGTGGTCCCAGACAAGACGGAGCTGTCATTCATGACCTGACATTCATGAAGCTGGAGATAGGTGCAATAACTGAGAAAGTAGCAGTTATGGTTGACGAGAACTTGTTCAGACACATGTTAATTGGTCTCAGCACGCTGAAGAGAAAATCAGAAACCAGAGTGGACTATCAACGGCGCTGTACTAATGCGGGCGGTAGCTCGGTGCCAAGATATTGGCCCTCCTTTGGACGAAAGCAGGATGTGGCAGAGTATGGCCCACTCCGAAGATTTAAAAAAAGCCGGAAGGATAAGTTATTGCATCCAGACCAGAACGGACGGACAAGCGGTGAGTTTTGCGACGAACTAGCGAATATTGAAATTGACAATTAACAGATTTCAATTTGAAATCTTATGGATTGCTTGAGCTCCTCAGGTACGGTGCCCCTGTCCGTAAGTTCAATGGAAAGTCTAAGGGAACTTTCGCAAGGAAAGAACGAAAGGTAAAAGCACTTGGATACAAACAGGCGATGGTTGAGGTTGAAAGCTTCAAGGAGGTGATCACATTGATCGTAGTCGGCAACAGCGAGCTTGACGCCCATGTGATCCTCTTTGCCCAGGAGCTCAAGTAGCGCTATGACCTACTTGTGAACGAGAAGAAATCAATGATCTGCCACGAGAGTGATGCTATGCAGCCAGTCCCACTTACGTTCGAGAGGCTGCCGAAGAAGGTGACAATGGCACCGGATGAAGAAACGATTGGCACAAAAATGATGAGTACGTTGCATAAAGAGAAGAAAGTCGATGAACCGAAGACGCCATGTACGAGTATGGTCGACTAGTATATCTGCGTTACACTTTAGATGTAGTTGTACTAACAAGCATCAGAAAACAGTTACTCGAAACATGTACTGTGATGATAGTCAAACTGATCAAACGTCTCATCAAGGATGTCACATTTTCAAATTTAAAAAATCAGTTTGTAAAAAAAATCTTCATATTTCGCTTCCAACTTAGAAAGCTATTAAGTATTTATTACCAACCAGTCATGATCCATAACAAAATCCCAAACAACTCATAACTAAATTGTTTTTGCTAACTGATTAGTTTAAATGACAGAACAACTTTGAAAACAATCTGAAAAGTTAATTGACAAAATAAAAAACTAATCAGTTTCGTTAAAAAAAACGTCATCGGCCAAGTAAAACAGGGCAAAACACACATTTTTAGGGTTTCGACCAAAAAACGGCACGTCTTTTGAAGTGCGCTCCAGAATCAAAATGATTAAGTATTGACACACAAATTGCGCAGCAGTCTTTCCTCTGCTAAAAACACTCTTGTGCTGTTGCCACCAAAGTAAAAAATGTGAATTTAGTTTAGTACAGCCTTCTGCAAAAGAAGATGCCACCAGCAAATGAGCAAGGACACCCTTTTTACCTTTGATCTCTTTGTTCAGCCACTCTTCCCTTCCTTCGCTGTCGGACAGTCTGAACACAACAGACATACTCATTATTTCATGCACAACATTTGCCTCAACCTTAAATCACATCACTATTCTTGAATCATTTCAAATCCTATTCACGAGAAGAGTCATTCGAATTGTATTCGTCGCTAATGATATGTTAGATAAACTATCTCCCAACTGATGAAGTATTTTAAGTATCGGCAGTGTGAAAGAGACTACTGCATGAAGTATACTGACTGTAGCTCCAACTTCTCTATCTGCTCTTTCAGCCGAGGGAACTCCTTCAACATCCTCTTTTTCTCCTCCTCCTCCTCCTCCTTCAGAAACTGTTTCTGCAAACAACAAAACAAAACACATGCCCAGCGCTCATTCAACTCAACTATTCTTATTCAGGTCAAGCACAAGCAGCAAAAAAATCGATTTAGAACATGTTGCAGACCAATTGTTAAATACCTAAAAATCTTCACTTTTGAATAATGGAGATTATCAATAAATAGTTTTCATCGGATTTATTGGTTTATTTTTCAAGTCATTCAAGTTTTTCGTCACCTTTACACTTTTGTTGTTCGATAGTAGAGTTTCCGTTCATTTTAGAAACGGAAAAGAACGGAACTTAAAATGATTCTTTTCAAACCGTGAAAAAAAAAGTGAGCGTGAACTAAATTATAATTTTCTTCTGAAAAACAACGAAAAAAAACCACAAGCACCTATGAAAACAATGCAAAGACAAAATCTTGAAGGAATAAGAAAAACTGTAAAAGTTTTTTGAAAAAACATCAACTCTTCCGCAAAATTTCTTGAAACGCGATTACTCGCACATAATCGGAACAAACTGAATAGATTTGAATCATAGGCAAGTCGTAGGCATCCAAGCTGACAAAAATAAGCAGACAAGCAAAACTATATTGTAAACTTTATTGTATACACAGAGGCGAAGCAGAGCTCTACACCGCTTGCGCGAAATCATAAAAATAGCATTGCAAGCTGGCAGACAGCAAAGCAAGGAAGAGCCTTCTATATCGTCAAATCTTGTAAAATCACTGTTATCTATAAGAAACCAGGAAACAAAAAATGGAGCTCATTGAACGCCTAGACAGAATTATAGAAATTATAACTACTGAAACGATGCACACAATCTGTGGTGATATCAATTTTGATGTTTTCTATAGAGAAACTAGTCAAGGAAGAACATAGGAAGGTAGAAGAATCTAATGGACTCGAGCTGGTGTTCAAAGAGCCTAACCGGCTTCGGCTGACTGACCAATCTGCTAGTTGCGATGATCAATCTGCCTTTTAGAAAACGTTAATCTTTATTTTTACTTAATCTGATATTTTACAACATCAAATGTTAGTTATCATTACTCAATCGAAGTTCAGTTGAGTTTGATTTCCATTACTAGAGTTTCCAAAGGTATATCGTCACCTATCTTTTTTATCATGTTTAACAAGTACAGAACTTTCACCTAAGCACAAATTTGCTCAACTTATAAATCAAGGTGATGCAAATACCACGTACAAAGGAATTAGAGAATTGTTCACCAAATGTATTGACCGTTAAGCGCCAAAAAAATCAAAAAGCCAAAGAGCGTCACTTCAATCAGAGGGTTTTCAATTTTAAAAAAATTTTATATTCATTTACTTCCGCAAAATGACGCGAAGTCGTAGTATTAGTAGTAGAAATTTATCAACTACATTCGGAGCTTCATCTAAATGAGCTTTTAATTTTTGAAAACTCTAAGCTAATAAACACTGATTGAAGATCCCTATGTTGTAAAAAAAAACACAATTTACCATCATAACCTAGAGCTAACTACTCAGAGGCCGAACATGGCATCACGGGTTCGACTTCTAAAGTCCTTACCCGATACTCGGAGACGGGCTGGTTTTATGGGGTACCCGATGAATAGGGGAGTAGTGTGGGTCGGGAAAAAGCAGTGGGTACGAAGATGGAAGAAAAGGGTTTTAAAAAATTTAGAATTCGTTTAAATTAATTTTAATTTTCTTATTTGAAAAAAGCATGTTTGTCTAGCGGTAATAAGCGTGACTTTCGTCCCAATTGATGGGGTTCAATCCCCTGCAGGTGCAATCATTCCTCCTGGCATAGCCAAAACATTTTTAAAAAAATAATTTTTATTATTCATTTTAAAACAAACTCTTGTGTTTCTAGTTAAGATCTCATTAGCTACCCTTTCCGGAGGTTTCTTGACTAATGTGTTTTGTTATGTAAATTTTACTATTGGAGAATGTTTTTTTTCTTCTTGGGGGGTTGGAACCTCATACCTCCCAAACAATCGGTATTTAAGCTAACCTCTAATCAACTGCTGCTTTCATTAGATTACTTTCACACAAAATATTGTAAGCAAAGTTGTCAGGCAGTAATGGCTGCGCTGTGATAAACACAAAAACTCATTCTATCTGAAATTGTCAAAAACAAACAAAATCATTAAATACAAATAATTTCAAAGTAAAACAAAGTAAGAGTCAATGAAAGCAAGACAAATGTTTTATTTTTGAAAACTGCAATTTTGGAATTTCAAAGTAAAAATATATGACCCTAGAGCTCATTGAACTTCAAGCTAAATTTATGACTGACACTTCTTTTTAATGAACCAATTGTGAGAAAGCTGCTTTTTAATGAACCAATTGTGAGAAAGCTGCTTTTTAATGAACCAATTGTGAGAAAGCTGCTTTTTAATGAACCAATTGTGAGAAAGCTGCTTTTTAATGAACCAATTGTGAGAAAGCTGCTTTTTAATGAACCAATTGTGAGAAAGCTGCTTTTTAATGAACCAATTGTGAGAAAGCTGCTTTTTAATGAACCAATTGTGAGAAAGCTGCTTTTTAATGAACCAATTGTGAGAAAGCTGCTTTTTAATGAACCAATTGTGAGAAAGCTGCTTTTTAATGAACCAATTGTGAGAAAGCTGCTTTTTAATGAACCAATTGTGAGAAAGCTGCTTTTTAATGAACCAATTGTGAGAAAGCTGGACTTTTTTTATTAGAAGTCAATGAAGTTTTTCGTCACCTTTACACTTTTGTTGTTCGATAGTAGAGTTTCCCTTCATTTTAGAAACGGAAATGAACGGAACTTAGAATGATTCCCTTCAAACCGTGAAAAAAAGTGAGCGTGAACTAAATTATAAATTGCTTCTGAAAAACAACGAAAAAAACCACAAGCACCTATGAAAACAATGCAAAGACAAAATCTTGAAGGAATAAGAAAAACTGTAAGAGTTTTTTGAAAAAAACATCAACTATTCCGCAAAATTTCTTGAAACGCGATTACTCGCACATAATCGGAACAAACTGAATAGATTTGAATCATAGGCAAGTCGTAGGCATCCAAGCGGACAAAAAATAAGCAGACAAGCAAAACTCCGACCAAGATTTTGGTAACATCGTAACATACAAAGAAAAAATTCTGGTGGAATTCCCACTACAGACCTTTATCCTCGCAAGTATGTCTGTTACTCCACGCTACAGTTGCGCACTAACACCTTGATAATGTATACACAGAGGCGAAGCAGAGCTTCACACCGCTTGCGCGACATCATAAAAATTGCATTGCAAGTTACCAGACAGCAAAGCAAAGGAGAGCCTCTAAGTCCGAAAGAATTGTTAAAATTTTGGAAAACCATGACTAAAAAACTTCAAATTGCTTTCAGTAGAGATGTTCTTCTTGCGGTAAACATGTCCAAAAACACAATCGACGGCGATTAATGAAAATTCAAAACAATTAATCGAGCGGCAGCTGAGCGCAAAACGTTCGGCTTAAGTCCCCTAGAAACAAAAACAGAATTGCCATCATGAAAGATGAAGTCAAAGTTAATAAACACAGCAAACAGACAGTTCAAAAAGTGGGGATGAACGCAAAGAAACAGAGAAAAGCTGACTTTTTTCATCACCCTGATCCTTTTGGAGATAATGGGTGATGCTAATTGAGCATTCAGCTGCGAAAGTAGGAAAACATAATCAATCAGCATCACCCATCCTCTCCAAAAGAGTCAGGGTGATGAAAAAAAGTGTCAACCATAATAGATTCGTGAAACTCAATATCTGCAACGTGATTTGTTTTAACTTCGAACGCTTGCGATAAGCAGGCGTATAAAAATCGGACTAATTTTTTTTTAGATTAACAAGTAGTTTAACAAAATCAATTGAGCCTTTGACACCTCGGTTCGTTATTCTTGGAATATACTCTTTTTGGCTTAACAACTTGTTGAACATAATCAGTCGGCATATTGGTTCTTAAAGAATTTCAATTTTTAGCGTCTCTGACACACTTAGTCTGCCTATAACGAGTACGCCTGAGAAGGCAGAGGACCTGGTTTCAAATCTGAAGACAACCAGTTTTTTTTTTAAATAGAAGAGTTTCGTTTCAAAAAGTTTTGTCTATTATTTGTCTTTTATGTTTTTGTCTTATTCAGCTCATCTAATATTTAGCTCATCTAAGATTTTACTTACTGTATGCAAGCTTCATTGTAGCTGCCTTAAGTTTTTTTATTTCCTGCATGTTGTAATTATATGATTCGAAATTCTACGAATTACTAAAAATTCGGCTACGTCTCGGATTCGATCTGCCACCAAGAGATTATGAGTCTAACGCACTAAACACTCAGGCTTAATACTTCTTCACAAACGCTAGCGATATGAAAGTTCCACTTAATGAACACTTTTTTGCCAGTAAGGTTAGAAAAAAAGAAGGCTCGTACTATCTAACAGCTTGCTAGTATAAAAACTCATTGTAGAAAAAAAATCGCGAAAAACAACCACCAGCACTAAATAGCCTTTTGATTATTGGGCAAGTAAAAAGCCGACAAAAGTTGGGCAGACCAGTTAAGCCAAAATTTCAAAAATATAAAGTAAGTTAAATACTGAAACTTTTAAAAACCATCACCCGTAAATGAATCAAGCTTACTAAGCCGTTTTACCAACTCAGATTTCCAAAATCCAAAATGCTAAAATCACAAAAAGAACTAATGTCAATTCTAGTAAGCTTGTTTAAATAAGCAGAAAAGTCTATGTATTGGCAAATAAGCCGTCTATGCTTTGGCAAATAAACCATCGAACACTAAGCAGGTAAACAAAGTAGAAGTAAATAAACAAGAAAACAAAGTAAGTAAACAAGAAAAAGAACAGATAAACAAAGTAACACAAAAGAAACAAGGCCCGACCAAGATTCAAGCTCAAGACCCTCGGTTGCAATAGCGCCCATATTACCGCTAGACCAAGTGAGAAAGATCCTCGAAGTCGTTTAAGTTCGAACAACATAGCCAACAGACAACTGGAAAAGAGTCAAAAACAGGGGAACAGATTAAAAACTGACTTCAAGGGAAAAACTATATGGCCGTAAAGCTCTTTGAATTCCAAGATACATTTACAATACCACTTTTTAGATACAACTAACTCAATTCGAGAAAACTGTAGGTAAATTCTGTATTCCGTTGAGAAATCTGAAAATTGAAATCTCTTCCGAAACTAGAAGTCGATCCCATTTTCGTCGTGACATTTCCACTTTTGTTTTTAGATAGTGAAGTTTGCCGTCAGTTTTACAAAGCAAATGAACCGAACTTTAAGACTTGACTAGGTTCAATGACTCTAATAAAAGCAAATTCAATTTCTTACAGATTTGTACGAAAAGGTGATTACTGGAAAAAAAAATCTCAAAAAACTCAATTTCATACATGCTAAAAAAAAACAAGGTGCGGCGGGGATTCAGACTCTAGACCTTCGGGTGCAATGGCACTGCATTACCTCTAGAACAACTGAGAACAATCCTGAAAATTGTTTAAATTCAATTTAAAAAAAAAACAAGTTCAAATTCTTTCAGATTTGTAAGTTGTTTTTTTTTTGGAAAAAAACGCCTAGCACTCGTTACAAGTCACGTGCTCTCACAGCTCAAAAAACAATCTATTTTTTTTCTAAAAACTAAACTTTAAAACCATACAATTTTTGAACTTCTGTTACAGTAGAGCAAAATTTGAAAACTCTTGAAAAGACTTTAGAAATTAAAAAAAAAATTGGCATCAACAAAACTTAGATAAGTGTTTTCACTCAACTGAAATAAGTGTCTTCACTTTGTTGTTTGACGCTCAAAACATCTTTTTCGAATACGAATTACAATAAAACGCCTATGTTCGACTCAAGGTCTTTATGCTAAGGCGGTCTTTATACACCACGCTCAATCACATGCAAGCTTGCTATTACGTAGCTAAAACTTTGACACAAAAAGACAAATCTAGATCATAGATTGACCCCATTATTGATGGGCCAAAAAAGAAATTCCCTCTCTCCAAATTAGAACTTATAATCTGAGTGTGTCTCTTATTCACTCCTCACCCTTCCTTCGTCGTCATTCAACATGTCTCTGAAGTTGGCAAACTTCTTCGGCTTGCTTGTTTCTAAAACAAAGGCAACATCAAAACAATACTACACAAACTGAAACAACTTTTAGTAAATCTTCTCTTATTTCACAATTATTTGGGTTTTTGAAGTGTTTTTTTTTGCAGTAGGCAGCTAAAGTTTACCGAATTCTTATGATATAATATAACTCAATGCGTTGGATTGCTTTATGTTCACCCATGTTTTCACGATTTGATAAAATTTCACTGCATTTTGTGGTGAACAAGCTACTATAGTGCTACAAAAAACATCCGGATAAAATGAACTATAACAGGAATTTTCAAGTCACTTTTCTCAATGTTGGTTTCATTCGGCCAAACAATGCAGAGGGCAAATGCTTAGAAATTTACCAACTTTTTTGTGAATAAAAATTACTTCCATAAAATAGGTCAATTCATTTGGCTCAAAATTAGTGAGTTGAGCAGGGTCAATTATAGTTATTCTTACACTTATTGACCCTGTCTAACTCCCTAAGTTTTAATTAAATGAATTGAACTTTTCATGGAAAAAATTTTGGTTCACTATTTCGCAAAAAAATGCCCCGCAAAAAGCTGGTAAATTTTTAAGCATTTTTGTCCTCACGATGTTTTGGCCACATATAACCAAATTTGACAAAAATGAGTTTTGAAAGGTAAGTTCATTTTATCGGGTTATTTTAATTCAGCTCTATAACACAGTGCCGATTTAAATTATCCGGACAAAATGAAGAAAACTTGAATTTTCAAACGCGCTTTTCTCTATTTGGTTAGAAATTCGACAAAAAATGAAGAGAAAAAAGTTCCTTAGAGTTTCATTAGAATTGATATGGTGCAATTTTTTCTCCAAAAATCTCAGCCAAAATTTTACCCCAAAAATGGGTCTTTTTGGCTTTTTTCAATTAATCAAAAATTACGCTGAAACTTTTTTGTTAATTGATGAGGAATATATATCACAAGAAGTCTCGTACACAGCCCAATAAAGTTCTAGAAGGTTTAAATCTCCAAAAACCTGTATAAGTGAAAAAAAATTTGCTTGATAATCAAGAAGTGTGATTTTTACTATATAAAACCAAAAACCTTAATTAAATTTTTACTATATAAAACCAAAAAACAAATTTTAAACAATTTACTCAAATTTTTGGAGATTGAACTCTTCTAGAACTTTATTGGGCTGTTTAAAAAGCCTCTTGTGATATATATTTCTCATCAAGTAACAAAGTAGTTTCAGCCTAATTTTTGATGAATTGAAAAAGCCAGAAAGACCCGTTTTTGAGGTAAAATTTTGGTTGAGAATTTGGGAGAAAAAATTGCGCTATATTAATTATGATGAAATTCTAAGCAACTTTTGTTCTCTTCACTTTTTGTCGAATTTCAAACCAAATTGCGAAAAACACGTTTGAAATTCAAGTTTTGTTCATTTTGTCCGGATAATTTAAATCAGCACTGTAGCTTTTTCAGCACAAAATGCAGTGAAATTTCATGAATTGCATAAGCAGCCTCGAACCAAACAATCCATTTCATTGAATTATATCATCAGAATTCGGCAAATTTTTATTACCTACTGCTGATAAATAAAAACATAGCCAATTGAATAATGGAAAAGAGTAATGGACGCAACATAAACAAAACAATGACTTAGTAAAAAATCTCAATTTTCGAATTTCAAAGAAAACAATTAATGCTTTTATGCTCTTCGAATTTTTAGAAAAATTTATGACTGGCGCCTTTTTGATAACCTTAACCCATTTTGAGGAAACTGGATTAATAGGTAAAGTTTTTATTCTGCTGGAAATCTAAAAACTAAATTCCACTTTCGAAACAAGAAATTGTTCGCGTTTTTTGCGCCATTTCCACGTTCGTATTTGGAGAGTGCTATTTACGTCACTTCCATCAGATGAATTTCAATTGAACTTAAAAAGTGCATTATACCTAAGTACACCAATATTTTAAGACTTTTTCCTGAAAAAAAAAGCAGCAAGACCTGTATAAGTCTTCACTACGTCCATTACTCTTAAAAACACGGTTTGAAAACAGCCTGTAGATCCCAAATATTATAGCAGTATATATAAAAGAATATCTGATGTCTTTGCACAGAGGGCCAGTTTTCACACAATTAAAAATTTATCTGTCCAATACTGGCATGAAATTTTCTGGGAGAGGTAACACAGGGGACACGAGTTCAGATACGAGTTCAAGCAAAGTTCAATAACTACCAAAATGGTCAACTGAAGAAAAGGAGGCAGTTACTCAACCAGCATACCTAGCTGCTTCGTCTTCAGCGCTATCTTCTCATTCAAATTGGCCAATTTTACAGCATGCGACTGCTTCAACTTCTGAATGTGTTCATTCAAACTCTCCTTTTCTAATTTCACTTCTTCAAGCTCTGCTCTCAATGTTTTCGTCTCTTGTTCCGACTGTTCCAGTTTCTTCCAAACACACTCCAGCTGGTCGTTCGTCTGACCGAGCTCGTCGAAAGCGGCCAGTTGGAAACTTTTTGTCGTCTTCATTTCATCCTCTGATTCCACCAGCTGCTGCCTCACACTTTCAATCTCGGAATTCTTCCTCAAAATGAGTTGCTCCATCTCCTTCTTCTTCTCTTCTCCCTCCAAAACACGTTCTTTTTCCACTTTCTCTAAATTAGCTAGAGCTTCTTCCAAATCTGTTTCGAACTGACGAGCTCTTTGTTCAAAGAAAGTAACCATTTGATCAACCTCTGACTTCTCCGTTTTCAAACTAACTAATTCGGCTTCCAGCTCACATCTGTGTTGTTTCGCCATTTCCACTGAACTCTGTGCATTCTTCAATTGCTCCTTCAACAACTCTACTTTTTCAACAGCCTCATTTTGGCTAGTAACTGCACTTGCCAGTTCATCTTTCAGATGAATGACTTGCTTCTTCAGCTCTTCAATTTGCCCATCTTTTACCAAAATCATCTCATCCAGTTTCCTTTCTTTTTCCGTTAAATTTGCCTCAAACTGTAGTTTCATAGTTTCTATTTCAGCCTCGGCTGTTTTCGCTCTCTGCTCAACATTACTCATAACTCCTTCTAGTTCTAACTTTTCTTTACTGTGAGAAAGCAACAAGTTTTGCATTTGCTTGTCAAACTCTTCTTTCCCATCTTTTAAACTTTCAATACATTTTGGACACTTTTCCGATTCCGTTTCTGATTTGCAGTTGTTCGCTGTTTGTGAGACGTTAAACGACGTGTTGCATTCGGCGTTTATCTTAACAATGTCTCTAATGTTTTGATCGTGATTTTGCACTTGATCTGTTTGAACTTCTGTTTCAACAACATCTGAACGAAATTCGGTCTGCATCGAAACATCAAATTGTTCGCTTTCTGCCAGTCTTTTGTCAAGCCTCTCTACTTTTTCTGTCAAACTCAAATTTTCAATTATTTTTTCGTCCAATCGGTTTTCTAACTGCCCCATCAGCTGCCTCTGTTCCTCAAATTGCGACCCCACAGAAGCATTTTCCTTTTCCTTCCTTACATTTTCCAGTTCAGATCGAAGTTTCACTAACTGCTCGTTGCTTGACTCTGTTTTCTCTTCCATTTCGCAGCGCAATAATTCGACTAACTCGTCTCTTGATTCCACATCGATTGTCAAATTTTCCACAATGTCCTGCAGTTTATTGTGCTGTTCTTCCCAATGGTCTTTTTCCTCTTTCAACACACCAATATATCTGTTCAAATCATCTACTTTAAACACCAGTGCGTCTACTTCTTCCCTCCTCCCATCCTCACATGCTTCATTTTCAAAACGTACAGTTTCAGTTTCAGCATTTTCTGATTGCCTTTTCATAATTTCGCCTGCTTCAAAATATATGCACTCTGTCTGCATTTGAACACTTTCTGTTTGAGCTTCAGCTTCCGCCTTCACCACCTCGTCAAACACTTGGCCTACAATCTGGGAGACAAAACCTTCCACGTGTTGCCTCTCCATTTCTCCAACTTGTGATTGCAGCCTTGAAGTCTCCAACTGGCCATCTCTCAGTTGTAGTTGCAACTGTGACGTCTCTTCTTTTGCATTGTATAAATCGTGCATGGCACTGTGCAAACTATGTTGCAGCTGTTTCACATTCCCCTCTAGCGAATCTCTCTCCGCCTGCACTTGACTGAATCTGTCCGCACACTCTTCCAACTCTGCCTTCAAATGCTTCATTTCGGAAATGACACTGCTCAACTTATCACACTCCTCCGACTTGCGTTCTAGAGCCTCGTTCGCTTCCGCCTTCACTTTTTCATACTCACCTATTCGCTTATCTCTCTCCTGCACATCTTGCTCAAGAGCCAACTTCTCCCTCTCTAGTTCTTCTACCTTTTCTCTCAAGTCGTCCGAAGCCTGAAAGAAAGAAAGGACAGTGAAACATTGACCAGACTCCAAACATAAATTACCTCGCAGCCATCAATTAAACCACAACCATGATTTATTTAATTTAGTCTCACATGTATATTGCCATGCTTAAGCGTTTCTTTGCGACGGTTAGGCGCATAACGTATCTATGCATGGCTAAGCTATATCCTATATTGCCATGCTTAACAAATATTCTTCGAGTTTTCAGTTTATGAACGCTAAGCCAATTTGAAAGCCCGAATGTAAGGCTGCAGCTAGGATTGGCGATATGACCATTGGCGCCAGAAATGCAAATTACACGCTAGAATATCTTTATTTTTGACTTACACAGAGCTAGCTAACAGACATTTGGTTAATAGTTTTCGAACAAAATAAAGGCAACTTGAAACTGTTTGGAAAAATGGCCGAAACTTTATAATTTTTCACTGTGAAAGCACATGAAGACTCAATTTCCACAAGCTGATCTGCGATATTTTTGCTAGTTTATGTGAGAGCCAATTTCGCATCTGGGGAATGTTGGGTTGACTTTTTATGATGAAAATGAGCCAATTTGATAAAATTGGATCAATAGGTAAATTTTCTATTTCGCTGGGACACTTGATCATTAAAATCTACTTTCGAAATTAGAATTCGAGCACGTTTTCGTTGACCTTCACACTTTTGCTGTTCGTGAGAAAAGTTAGAGAACTGAACTAAAAAGGACATCAAAAATCAAACCACCAAAAAGTAAATTTGAGTCTTAACAAACTAAGACTTTTCCCGGAAAATAACAAAAACGAAATCATCACGATCTGCATCAGAGTCTGAACTACGATAAAATCAAATCATTTTTAAAATTCTTTTCTCCCTCATTTTGTTTCCTATTTCCCACTTAGAAATTCAGGAGGAATAACTTAAAGGACAATCTTCCAAAAAGATTTTAAATGATTTTGTGAATTTTAACACTCTTGTACTGCTTATGCAAGCAAAACCGCAAATAATTTTTTAACATGACCAATGATGTGTTTAGGCGGTTTTCCGCGCTGCTCTGTGGTCGAAATAATTAAATTATGTACTTCGTTTCGTCTCTATTCAAGTGAGTCAAATTTAATCCCTTTTAGTAACTCTCATTGGTTAAGCGAATTCCGCGCTACCTTGAGTCTTCACAAAACTGGTGAAAACGGCGTATTATTATTAAGGGTTTAGAAGGAGACTTTCAATTTTTTTCCCATTTGTTAATAAACCAAAGTGAACTACACGAATCAAGAACATCACTTTAAAACTTTTTTTTAGCAAAGCGAAGAAACAAACGGGAATGGTGTTTTATAAAGCATATATTGTTAACAGCAAAATGGAGGGACGAGATTCTAAAAATTTTCAGCTTTTTAGATCAATTTTTCAGATCACTACCACGCAATTTGGAGGAACTCGAGGTAGAAAAACCAATTGGCTCAACGTCCACATATCATCTGTTTAACAGCAAAAAAAATATCTTAATGGCTTAAAAATATCTCTGAAAATATTAGCTTCCAAACGTGAGAAAATAACATTTCTTTAGTTGCAGTAGAGATGAACGAGGTAAAGGTATTGGCATCTAGTCCGCAAAAAAATGAGAGCAAAAAATGATAACAATATCCAAATCTTGTCAGTATACAAAAAACCAAAAACCAGAAAGTTTTAATAACCTGTCTAAACATTCTACCAAACTCCTTAAGCAACGATAGTTTTGAAAGTCTACAAAATTACTTGGTAGAATTATGGCTAGGGCCTGAAAAATAAAATATAGAATGTAATAGTGATCAATTTTTGAGATCACTACTACGCATTGTAAGGAACTCCAGGTAGACAGATCAATTGGCCCAACGTCCACGTATCATCTGTTAAATAGCAACTTGGACTTAAAACATCTCTGACCATAATATCTTCCAAATTTGAAGATAAAAACATCTCTTTAGTTTCAGTAGAGATGAACGAGGTGGAGGTATTGGCATCTAGTATGCAAAACAAATGAGAGCAAAAAAAATGATAACAAAATCCAAATCTTGTCATTAATTTCGAAAAATCAAAAAACCAGAAAATTATAAAAACCCGTGTAAACATTCTACCAAACTCGTTAAGCAACGATACTTTTGAAAAATTATATAACTACCTGATTGGATTATCGCCAGGGCCTGAAAATGAATATCTATAATGTAGTGATCAATTTTTCAGATCACTACTATGCAATTTGGAGGAACTCGAGGTAGAAAGACCAATTGTCCCAACGTCCACAAATCATTTGTTTAACAGCAACTTGCACTTAAAATATCTCTGACAATAATATCTTTTTGAGGATAATAACATCTCTTTAGTTTCAGTAGAGACGAACAAGGTGGATGTATTGGCATCTAGTACACAAAACAAATAAGAGCAAAAAATGATAACAACATCAAAATCTTGTCAGAAATTTAAATCAAGAAACCAGAAAGTTTTAATAACCTGGGTAAACATTCTACCAAACCCGTTAGGCAACGATACTGTTGAAAGCCTACAAAATTACTTGAGACTATCGCTAGGGCCTGAAAATGAAAAAAAAAGAATGAGGTAGTGGTCAATTTTTGAGACAACTACCACGCAATTTGGAGGAACTCGAGGTAGAAAGACCAATTGGCCGAACCTCCACGTATCATCTGTTCAACAGCAGCTTGCTCTTTAAAATATCTGTCAGAAAAAAATCTTCAAAATTTGAGGATAATAAAATCTTTTTAGTTCCAGTAGAGATGAATGAGCTGGAGTTATGGGCATCTAGTCCGCAAAAAAAATGATAAAAATATCCAAATCTTGTCAGTAATTTAAAAAACCAGAAAGTTTTAAAAATCTACGTAAATATTTTACAAGACTCGATAAGCAACGATACTTTGAAGGTCTACCAAACTACTTAAAAGAATTATTGCTAGGGTCTGAAAATGAAAATATAGAATGTGGTGAGTTCATTGTAAATTTCCTTTTAAATCGAGGAAAAGCGAAGAAAAATGAGGTATTTATGGAAAGTTTTGGCATGCTAGAAAACAAAACGGTTCGCCTACCAACAATAATGACAGAATTGAGCAGAACATTAATTGACTTATTTTTCTTTACATCGTATTTCTGAATTAAATTTTCAAAAAATCGGTGTCTGCCCACTGTGTTCACTGAACACATTACTTCTCGAAACTAGAACAAACTGAAGACAAGAGAAATAAATGAAAAAATAAGTTTTCATATACAGCATAAGGTAGTTCATTAAGGAATCCTGAGGACACCAAAACTTCGTCGGGTTCAAGAAATTTAATCCTCTTAAAGCAGTTGATAAATTTTTCAAAAACGATTACTGGAACAAACCAAACGGCATCCATGGATTTACAACAAAACAAAAATACAGCAGCAAAAATGAACCTCCGACAAGTTTTCAGATTTAAAAACAGTAGATGCTCAGAACCGATTTATATCAAGAAAGAAAATTTTAAAAAATTTAATCATCCCAAAAAGCAAAAATAATATCAAAACAAAAGCTTGAGTCTCGTTAAAACTTTCGATATAATGCGAGGCAATATAGAAAAAAAAAACAAGTTTCTAAATAGTTCTGAGAGGAACGCATTACAAATCAATGAGTATTTTGCAAACCTAGGCGCCAATCTTTTCCAAAGCGAATAAACTTTTCAAATAAAGTAAATCGTCGGCGGCAATCAGAGTTTTTGAAAAGAAATTGATAAAACTGAGGACATTGAAAGTGTTCAAAATACTACAGTGCAGACTGTATCAACAATTGAAAATACACTAACAGGTGCCGTAACAGGAACCCAACATAACTGTTTTAAAACCGCAAAATCTGTACCAATCATCGTTTTTTCTTTTCTTGACAATTGGTACACATTTTGCAAACTCAGACTATAGAAAAATTTGGCTCCTACCAGTTCTGGGGAAATTTCTATGGTTTAGTATTTAGACGAGCTCAATCATATCTAGACAACTTTATTATAATCCGACACTCAGTTTGGTTTCAGTACAAAAAGGAGCCGTTGATGCCATTATCGCACTGCTAGATGTTCGGCCTCATTATCAGAGAAAAAGCGAACTCCTCAAAATACGTTTTTAGACCTGACAAAAGCTTTTGATCCGATAAATTTTAAACTTGCCCAACAGAGGTCCTGTATTAAACCTTTTGGAAACTTACTTTGACACTCAAAAAGCTAAATTGAACCCTCAAGAAGATTCAAAAAGCTTCTAAAAACTTGACTTTCCGAATATGCTTTTTTTGCTAAAACAAGTCGTGGCCAGTAGAGCAGAGAAGATTCACTAAATCGGGTTTCTCGATTGAATACTAAACCTGAAAAAAATTGGCACGGTAACTTTCGAGTAGAGTAAAAAAAAACTTCCAAAAAAGGGTCCAATTTTCTCAACTTTTACTTGTTTTAAGGCCTTAACTTTTTCTAAAAACACTGAGACTAGTAATTTTAAATACAAGCTTCCGACAACCTGTTGGTTCGATTAAATCTATGATACTTATTTACGAAGAGTCACAAACCCATACACTTACCCATACAGTAAATAAACCCATGCACTTTCATAGTACCTGTTTTTTTAACAAAAAGTTTTTAACAAAAAGAGCAAACATGCCAAGCGCGACATTTGAAATTGAAATAAGCAACTGAACAGAACTTACGAAGCTGAACAAGTCCAACAATCTTTGAGCAGACACCAACCCCCTGAAACTAAGCTGTAGTACCCGCCCAGTAGTTCAAACTGAAAATTCATGAAATTGAGCATATCAGCTGAAGAGCGTGTTAAGTGAAGAGCATTGAGCATGTCAATTGATTCAACTGATTTTGTTAAACTAGTTGTAAATCTGAAAAAATTCCGATCTACATTCCGATTATTGAACCCACAACAACATATTGTATTCTAAAATGTTAGCACATCCGGCAAACGAAAGACCGAGGCGAAGCTTTACTTCGCAAACACTAGTGTGATCACGACAAAAAGCAGCTCTATAAAGTTGGAAAAATAGTAGAAAAAAGCCTCGAATTAGTAAAACTCAACTACGTTCACCCACGGACGCCTAATAAATCACAAACACTAGCCACAAATAAAGCAGAGAACAGATGCTATAAACTTCCAATACTGCAGTTCGTGATTATAGCAAAAAAGCCATGAAATAAGTAAACACTTTTAATGAACACTTTTATTTGCGAGTTAGGAGAGAAAAAAGAAGGTTCGTACTAATACACTAGTGTAAAAGGGTTGAAAGGAGGGTATAAGGAGGAGTACAGTCATAAATTTTTACTAATAAAACAATCTATTAGATTTAAAAATTAAAAAATGTAACTGTTCTCCGCTTAAAGAGACACCTGAAAAAAACGCCGTGTTTCCCTACTGATGCTCTCCCATAGCGTTCAGATTTTTGTTAACTTATGTAAATAATTATGTATCTAGATGTCGTTTGGAAGCAACTTATTAAATATTACACAGAGGCGAATTTGCACTTCGCATACACAAGCAAACAAATGACCGATAACGCTACTGGGAAAAACTGAATGAGTAAAACTTGGAGTCTACAAAAATTCTTAGGTGACGCACGCCAATTATGAGTCTATAAAATTGTTGAGTGACGCAACCCAATTATGACGCATTACCAGTACGTCATTTTGAAAAAGAAATTTAACAACTAATATTCCTCCATTTATAGAGCGGACGCATCTTAACTAGTATACGAAAAAGTTCATTAAAAACATCCGACCCCGCTTAGATTCGAATCCTCTTATTTTGTTACGGGCCTCCTTCCTTGCCTCTACTCTACAGATTCATGATACCTTGAAGCTAAAGTGCTATTAGTAATATAAATAGTCTGTGTTCATATCCTTAAAATTAGCTGTACTTAACAGCTGGTTATTGATCTTATGCAAATACTGCAATAAAAGAACACTAAAATTTGCGACTTGTTTGGGAAAAATAAAATTTTTATACTATCACACAAGCTTTCTAGAAATCGAACAGGAATTCTAGACAAACATTCCAAGCAACACATTTGAAATCGAAATTAGAAATATAACAATTTTATGAAGCTGAAACAAGGCCGACAATGTTTGAGAAGACACCAGTTGAGCCGAAGAAAAAAAAACGAATTTAAAAAAAAAAGAAAAAAAACTTAAAAAGTTTTAAGTCCCCCTGAAACTAGCCTGTAGTAATTAGTACCCACTTAGTAAATAATACTAACCGAAAAATCTACTATCCGATTTGATAACGCTTGCTAATGGCAAGCGTAACTATACTGTTAAAATTGCTTTCTTTTGGTTTAATTAAGAAATAGCTGGTTGTTGATCAAAATGAACACTTTCAAAGTGAACACATTTTGTCGCAACAAAATTTGTGACTTAGGTTGGAAAAAAAGAAAGTTCATAATATAACACAAGCTTTGGTTTTGTAATTAAGACTATGAACTACCCGAAGACTAACGAATTTCGATGCGATCTTTTTTGTAAAGATCACGCAAAACTTAATCTTGTACACTCTAGAGTATCTACTTTTATATCACAACCAACTAATATCAATTCCCAAACCCAAACCCCCATCCTCCCTTGAAACAACGATTGTATTGCTCGGATTGCCCGATTGTTACAAAATTGGCATGCGGACTAATTAGGGCAAGCAAAACATACTTGGTTTTCATACTGAACCCTGTAAACCCTTGTTTAACCATGAAATTGACGCTTATTTGAGGTGGGAAAAAGAAAAAAGCCCAAATAGATCAGTAATTTATTTAAACGGCTCACATTTTCAAACTGCAGCTTGTGAGACACCTTTCCTTTTTCTTGCCAGCTTTCTTTTTCCTCGTTATTTTCCATCAGCAGAACTGAATCATCCATCATAGTCGTCACTTGACCCCCTCGAGTGAGATGGACGAAAGAAGAGTCCAAATCCAACATACTCGCCACACTGTCCCTGTGTGTGAACACAAATCAAGTACAAACAACGCCAATCATTTTCTTTTTCTTGAACAAAACCATCTAATTTCATTCCAAGAAGATACATGTTTGCAAATGTAAGAGCGAATATGATGGCATAAAATGAGTGGAATGAAAGAACTGCTGGGATGGACTGCAAGGGAAACAAACAGTGTGAACAGAATGTAGTAGAAGTGGCATCTATCTGACCTGGGAGTGGTAGATGTGCGTTCCGACAACTTCTCGTTGATTGTGAAGGCCAAATCGTCCACGATGTCGTAAATCTCAGAGGAGGAGAGTGCGAACTCCTTCTGCAGAAGACACTTCAGTCTGTCTTGCAGTCGAAGAGACTTTCTAGCCTGAACAAAAAAAACAAGACAGTTTAAAGATAACTTTGCTGTACAGACTTGGTACAAATCATACGGCCAAGATTTAGACAATCATCATAACTTAAGACATCGCAATATTTTGATACACAGAGGCGAAGCTGAGCTTCGCACCAAATGCGACACAAGAATTATAAGATTAAAGCAGCATGACGCATAAGAAGTAGCAAGCAAGACTTCGGGCGAAGAAAAAACTGAAAAAAGAACTAGAAACAAAAATTTTGCAGAATGAAAAAGAAAGCTTTTTCATGATTTATTTCGGTTAAGTTTTTTAAGCGACCCTTGAGAGGCTAATAGTGAGCATTCAAAAACATGGAGCCACAGTCTTATCGATCCTTAAAACACAACCCGAAATTTATTGGAAAAAAAAACATTTGGTAGAAAAGCAGACCAAATTACAACCAAAAGCCAATAAGCTGAAAAACAACCGAAACGCACTGCTTATATAGTGTCAACGAGTGCTTTATATGTAGTGAATGCGAGACCCAATTCGTAAACTCAACCGACCGAGTTTAAGTCGACAACCATGAAGCAGAAAACTTGGTAAACAGCACTAACATAACAGAACAAACTAGCAGACATAAATTGAGACGAAAGTCGCTCGAAAAGTTCAAAAGGTGACAATGTTGAGAAAAGCTTATTCTACCAACATTTTCATATCTTTGAATCAATTGGTCTGGAATAGAAATCATTTTTAACAATTTGCATCGGAAAAAAATATTACGTAACAGAAGTCACCCAAAAATGCTAAATTTGAGAATAAAAATCGCATGCGTACCATTTTCGTGTTAAATATCCGACAAAGCAAAATTTTTGCAAAGTTTTAAAAAAAACTTAATTTGTAACATTTCTATCAAAATTTTTCAAAAATAATAGATCAACTATTTCCACTGATGGCCTTAGGGGTAGGAGAAAGCTGAACAATGTCCGTTTGGACTCTTCAAAGTCCAAACAATGTCCGTGCAACGGGAACTAATCCAAAAAAATGAAGAGACGGACGAGCCTTTGTCGTCTCAAGAATATGTGTTACCTCTATACAGATGCGCTGGATAGTTGATTGAATTAATAAACGAACTCAGAAGCCGAAAAATGATTTTAAAAAATTCCTGGTTGACATCAATCGTTATAAAACCAACATAACTTATCGATTAAATACATTAGGAAATTAAGACGACAGAATTAACGCCGAACGACCTCAGTGACAAAAAGCTAGCAAAAATGATCCAATCTGATAAAATATTGATAGGCAACTGTTAACGTAAAAACAAGGCCAGTACAAAAATCAAACTATTATTAACCATGCGTATAAAGCAAAGGGTAGAAAATATACTGATTACTATTTGACCATTCTGTGAAAAAGCTATTTTTGGGGGAAAAAGTGTGGTATCCGATTGCAATACCTTGCTTATTGCAAGGGTAATTAATTCAGTATTTAATACAAAACCAATCATTTTCGCCGCCTGATATTAAATTGATAGACCGCTCAACAATTATCTTACAACATTTGCATCAAGTTCAAAGTTACATTGCCCCATTTCCCATCACATCACATTCCCAAGAGTAGTTTGAGAATATGCAAATAACTTCCTGAAATCGGCACTTACCAAATTGGGTGTGGACAAATTTCGTTTGCCTCCACTTTCAGACACCTTCAACAGATTGCGAAAGGTGCTCTCAGGAGTCGCACCTAGGTTAGTGACGGGGGGAGAAGCTGGCGGCTCCGGCGTGAACGTCTTCAACTCGTCACAGAGAGAAAAGCGAACTAGCTTCCTACTGTCATCTTTGAAGTTGGAAGGCGAAAACATGTTGCGGTCAATTGAAGGAATGAAACCGAACACTGAATCGTTCAAACTTGTAAACTTATTTTTCACCTCTTCCTCCTCATCTTCGTTAAAATCATCGCACGCATCAATTGCAGCAGAGCCATTGGAGTTCATGGCACACTCGCTATCTCGGGGGGCAGTTACACTTGCATCTCGACCACTTAGATTTGAACAGAATTCTGGACCCCCCTTCGAATACTTTGGCTCCAAGCTGTTCCTATCTTCTAGATCCGCTGCCGTTTCTTCTTCTATGCAAGGAAACATCCTTGCAGCAGAGTGGATTGTGCTGCTGCTACCGGGGGGCAGTACACACAAATACTCTTCGTGATCACTACTTGTCTGAACATTTCTTGGCGAGTCAGGCCATGACTGCGTATCAAACAGATGTCCATTTACTGCAGAATATTTAAATTAAAAATGAATTTCAAACAGTAGCGTGCGGGCGGGCGATGCGTGGTTGATTTAGCCAATTTCTTTTTTCAAAGGTTCCCAACTTTGCTACTATTGAACGACAGTCTTTTCTGGCTGGCACTCTAGAAAAATTTTAAAAAGCGCATTCGGCTCCACTAAATAAAATTTAGAAGGCAAAGCACGCGCCGAAAATTAAAACGTGCCAGAAATAGAAAAGACAATTAAAAATGATTAGTTTAGGCTTTCTGTAAAAATCGAACATTTTGAAAACACTTATCTAAACACGAACTACCAACCGTCAAAAATGACTTTTTAAATACTCGAACGCTTGAAATTGAACAGTTTTTTTTTCAACTATTCCCTGCCCTTACATATTTTTTCGTATTCGGATGTTGCATCCTAATGTTATTGTGTTTATGGTTTGCTGTGCAATGGACATCACTGTTAATGTTGTCGTTGTTGGAGCATGGACGGCAGCAGCTGCTGGCAGCATGTGAGATGCGTCATCATAGACGACTGTGGATATTTCACGAGAGGATGACAACTTGAGCAGCTCAGAGAAGTTGGGCACGAAGCTACTCTCTCTTAAGTCACTCACTGAGCTCTTTCTAGCAGTAGCCGAGGGTGCCCAAGTAACACGTCTGTCCTGTTAAATAAAGTTGAAAAGTACCACCAACAGAATGATCAATTAACCAAACAAATTTCTCATCACGAGCAAAATTCGGTTCGCACCAGCGGCCTATTACGGGGTTATTATTTAGTAACAGCTCAAAAACAGATCCTTAGGCTGCTTGAAGTCAGTCGCAAAACTAATGAAGTCTAGCAAAATTCCACCATTAAAATCATGTCCCAACGTATAGGAAAATCCTACGGATGCCGATAGTGCCAACCATTGTGTACTGTTTCTACGACCGTAGGAAAAATCATCAAGAATGACAAACCTAATGCTGCCGGTCCAATTCTTGAAAATGTATTTCTCAATGTACCTTAACAAAGTGAACACATTTGCAGTTATGCACACATAGTAGTAATAACTTAACCATCGGTGATGTCTCCCTGTCTAGTCTTTATCATTGACTTTTATTATATGAATGTCGTGTTTCCGAAAGAGCTTTTCTTCAGTGTGAAAAAAAAAAAAGTTGTAAACAAATATCGACCAAAATCTCTTCTTATTGCTTGAAGTAAAATATGTACCACTGCGTTTAGTCCAACCTTGAAAATGTTCACTACTGTTTTCAATACAATATAGCTTCCATATTAGACATAGCACAATTGATGCATTAGCAGAATTAAATTAACGAATGAGATTAGCGCTATCATTTGAAAGTTACAGCTTCTTTTTAGATTTGAAGACGCTTTCGATACTATTGATCACGACATATTATTCTAAAAACTAGCAAAATGTGGTTTTTGAACTGAATAATTAAACTGATTCAGAACATACTTAGAATCCGCATACAGTGAGTAAGCTTAAGGGTGTTATTTCTGATTGTATGAAATCGATGTGGTGTTCGACAAGGATCAATCCTATGACCTTCATTATCTATCATTTTATTAATGATCTGCCTTTGACGTCTGCAGAGGTTATCTTTTTGCAGACAATACAAACTTAGCAGTAAAATCTGGCAGAGTTGCAAACGTGACAACAGATCTAAAGAACTTGAAAATTTAGCCAATTGTAAACAAATTGGCAGTCAGTTTATCTATATTAATGCAAAAAAAGTTAAATCCATCATTTCCAAGAATTAAGATAACGTTTTCAATTTTATCCGAACTAAATAAGTATCTAACGTGTCTGCAAGTATTTGAGAGCTTTTAATGACTGTAAGCTATCGTTTATCTGACGCGGTGATTAAGTTAGAATAACATTGGAAAACAATGTGGTATAGTATCGAATAAGAGACACTAAGTATCAGGGCGTCAAATACTTGACCACTACTGTAATAAAACTGTCCCTATTCAGCAAAACGGAGTTCTAGATAATGGTGTTTGCAGTTTCATTGTTTTAAGCCCAATTTTCTGATTACAAAAAATGAAATATTTTTTCAGGAAACGGTGATGAAATTTTTGAAAAAAAAACTAACTACTGACGATTTATTAATACCAAGTCTATGAGCTTCTGAAATTTGTCTTCAAGACTGTGAACAATTTACATCTCGAATCTTTGGGGTTTTTGAAAGTTTTTCAAATTTTCGAAGTATATAATTTACCGTCTTTTATATAACCACAATATAGTCCACTAACTACAATATAGTCCACTAACCTCAAATAGCAAACCTGTAGTCGCTCTTGTATCTTCGTGTTGTTCAAACTTTGCTTTATTGGGTGGAGTTTTTTTCGGTTTTTTTCTTCAAATCTTGTTTAACCCATAGGCGAAGCTGCACTTCGCAAAAACTTTGGGAAACACGACCAAAAAGCAGCTTTATTAAGTGACATAAGAAAAGGTAGAAATAAGCCTCGAATTAGCAAAAACTCGGCTAGGTGTAGGATTCGAATCTGCGACCTATTGCAATCAAGATATTTGAGTCTCACGCAGTATCCAACTAGCCACGCAAGCTTAACAACCAACAAACACTAATCACGAAGAAACAGCTACATTAACTAATAAATTGCCAAAGGGAATCATCATAAGAGGCACCAAATACAAAAAAATTTTGCAAAAAAAATAATTTAGAATACAACAAACTGAAGCCATCCACACTAACTTTGCTTGGAACCAATCGCAAAGCATAAAGCCGCATTACGTACAAACTATGCATTTCAAAAAAGCGAGATAAATTGACTTAAAAAATTTCTGAATACGAGTTTTCATTTATGATATAATGTTTGAAACCAATCACCTTTTTCGGAAGATGTGATGTATAAAAGTTAGCTTGATCATGATCTGCAAACTTTTGTATCTGCTTGTCATTAACATCTTTTCCTCCTGCTATTTGTTAATTTTAATGTATTGTTATTCAAACCATAATTGCTTGCAGTATAAGGTGAGGCTGTTGATGGATCTCATGATCGCTTTGTCAGTCATCTCCAGAATTTGTAACATTGTAGAGTTGATCAAACCGTTTCAGGAGAAATTCTTTCCTTTTTCTAAGAAAAAGGTATAAAAAAGTTTTGATAGAGCGCGTTAATATAATCCCTGAAAAGTTAAAAATTTTGCTCTTAATTCAATGCCCAATTGGCGACAAGTCTGACTCCCAAGCGTGTATTCGATAGCTAATTGTAAGATTTGATAGAAAGAATTGATAGCTATTCGAACAATTGAATCAAATTGGATAAAACTCAAATTGCAGGTGCCAATCAGCATGGCGCTTTTGAGGTGGGAGCAGACCGCCCGAAAACACATATACATGTAGACCAAGTACTGAAAAAAACAAGGTGCTGATGAACAACACTGTGCCAATAACGGCGCTGAGGTGAATTTTTGCAATCATCACGAACAAACTATGCATTTCAAAAAAAAGTGAGATAAGATGACTTAGAAAATTTCTGAGCACGAGTTTTCATTATTGATATGTTTTTTGAAACGAATCACTTTTTTTTCGGATGATGTGATGTTTTGAAAATTGCATCATTTGTTTGAACTAGGTACTATTCGAATGTCAAAGCACATGCTATGAAAACGCTCTAAGGGTGCCCCAAAAGTGGCATCAATATTTGCGACTTAGGTTGGAAAAGAGAAGGTTCGTACTCATACACTCGCTTCGCAAGTGTAATGACAACATTGTGGAAGCTGATTAGATTGATCATGATCTGCAAACTTTTGTATCTGCTTGTCATCTAACAAAAACTAATTTTATCGGACTGTGTAGAAAATCATTTAGGATATTAAACTCTTTTCCTGCTATTTCTTAGTTTTAATGTATTGTTAATCAAGCCATAGTTGCTTGCAGTATAAGGTGAGGTTGTTGATGGAACCCATGATCGCTTTGTCAGTCCTCTCCAGTATTTGTAACATTGTAAACTTGATCAAACCGTTTCAGGAGAAAATCTTTCCTTTTTTCTTTTTAAGAAAAAGGTATAAAATGGTTTTCATAGAGCGCGTTAAAATAATCCCTGAAAATTTATAAAACTTTGCTTTTAATTCAATGCCCAATTAGCGACAAGTCTGACTCCCAAGTGTGGATTTGACAGCCAATTGTAAGACTTAATAGAAAGAATTGATAGCTATTTGAACAATTGAATCAAATTGGATAAAACTCAAATTGCAGGTGCCAATCAGCATGGCGCTTTTGAAGTGGGAGCAGACCGCCCGAAGACACGATATAGATATGGAGCGAGTACTGAAAAAAAAACACGGTGCTGAAGAACAACACTGCCAATAACGGCGCTGAGGTGAATTTTTGCAATCATTACGTACAAACTATGCATTTCAAAAAAAGCGAGACAAAGTGACTTAGAAAAATTCTGAATACGAGTTTTCATTATTGATGTGTTGTTTGAAACCAATCCCTTTTTTCGGATCAATTGATGCCTTAAAAAATGCATAGCTGTATTAAATAGTTACTATTCGAATGTCAAAGCACATGCTATGAAAAAGCTGTAAACATGCCCCAAAAGTGGCACCAAGATTTGCTACTTAGGTTGGAAAAAAAGAAAATTCGTACTAAAACATTCGCTTCACTAGTGTAATGACAACAAAGTGGCACTTGATTAGAGTGGTCATGGCAATGATTGTTGATATGTTTTTGTATCTGCTCGTCATTTAACGAGATCTAATTGTATCGGACTGTATAGAAAAAAATTTAGAAAATTAACTCTTTTTTCTGTTGCTATGAAACCATTTTTGCTTGCAGTATGAGGTCAGGCTGTTGATGGATCTCATGATCAAATTGTTCTCCCTCTCCAGAATTTGTAACATTGTAAAATTGATCAAATTTTTTCAGGAGAAATGCTTTCCTTTCTTTTTTTGAGAAAATAGTATAAATTCGTTTTTATAGAGCGCGTTGAAATAATCCCGGAAAATTTAAAAACTTTGCTCTTTATTCCAAGCGCAATGGGCAAATGAGTACAAGGCTGATCACAATTGTGGGATGTAAAAGCTATTTGTGGAATTTGATAGAAAGAACTCATAGCTATTTGAACAAATGAAACAAATCGCAGAAAACTCAAATTGCAGGTGCCAACCTGCATGACGCTTTTCAGGTGCGAGCAAACCGCCCCAAGATACCTTATATGTGGATCGATTATTTAAAAAAAAATTGTGCTGAAGAAATACAACAACAATGTGCCAATAATGAGGGAAATAAAGGTGACCATACGCTGAGAAGTTTTCATGTTGCTTCTGCCGTTGAAAAATCGGAATTAATCGATTCACCAGATATTTGGCCGCAGGCACTTGTTTAGGGAATTTTTCCTGAATGAAGCAGCACGCATTTGGTTGAAAACGTTAAAACCCCTCTGGCTGACAAACAAAAATAAAAAACTAGATTTCTCAAAGTGGATTTCATTAGACGGAAAATAACAGCAATGTCGCATATATTTGGAATTTGTGAAACCTGCATTACATCAAGATTTTCCGAATGGCTAGCTATTTTTTAATTGTCTTCGTGAAAATAGAATTGACGGCGAACCACCTTCAATTGCGGGCCAGTCTTGAAATATATATTTTTTCGACATCTTAGATTGATTTATTTTATATCATTTGAAAATATCAAGCCTTAGGTGTTTTAGTACTTATAAGCTTGATCATCACTTCGATAAAATTATGGCCCAGAGCACTTTCATTCAAAGCAAGCACAAATTACTCACATATCGCAGTTGGAAAAAATATGTTTAACTGAGTTTGGTTAAGAAGAGCTTGAAGCCTCTTTGGAATTAAATATTGGTCTTAGTATTCCTGCGAAGATTTCAAACTTAGTTACTGTTCTTAATGAAACTTTCGAACCAATAACAGATTCCAATGCGCCTCTGAAAAACACAATGAACTTATTCGGAAAGGTGATTTTTTGATACGAAGCTTTCAGTAGTGAAACAGAAACGCCGTTAATTGGATAAAAGGTATCTGAAACAAAAAGTCAGTTTTGATGGATACAAAGAGCATGATCAGAAACGAGAAACTGCTTTGAATATAAGAAAAGAGTAAACTTTCACAAAAACATCAGTGTTATTCAAACAGAGAAAAAAAAACAAAGCTCTTGAAAACTAAGCTGAAACAAAACTGAAGCAGTACTAATTTTTCATAATTGCAAGTTTCTCTGGCCAATGATTTAACTTCTTTTTTATTAACAAAATATCAATTTCATGTACTGAAACCCTAAATTTGAACAATTTTGATCATTTAAGACTTCAACTCAAATTTACATTGAAAGTTTCAGCCAAATTAAACATAAAGATAAATATTAGGCTGTTTTATCAATTTCAAACACCTCATGATGATATTTTTCTAATTGTTACCTTCACAAACTATGGAATTTTTAGAGGGCCTCGGAATAATTAAACTTTCAAAACATGTATTGAAATTGGAGTTTTTCCTGATGATCTTAAAGATGCAGTTATAATTGCGAAAGAAAATCTAGATCCTGAACTTCTTCCATCGTACCGACCAGTATCTAATCTTTTAACTCTTGCAACTAGTAGAAAAGGTAACTAATTTGGGTATCATGAATGGTAGTCAGTCTGCATATAGATCGAATGCTTCAACAGAAACAGCATTATTAAAAACGTCATATGATATTTGTTAAGCTTAAGAGGCAAATCATTGCCTGATATTGATTGGTCTAGAGTTATCAAGCGCAAATGATACACGGGATGATCATTTACTCAGAATCTTGAAAAAGTATATTGGAACTTCTTTTAACCCCTGCCGAATTAGTTCACATCGTATGTCAGTAATCGTTGACAGAAAGTTTACATTGAATCAAAATTTTCTGATGGAACATATGCTAAGCATGGTGTTCCTCAAGGGTCGATCTTAGAACCCCTTTTACGTTGCATTTCTTTTACCTCTTCGAGATATCTTCTTAAATCTCTGTTTACTCTGAATCATACGCGATGATACCTCAATCTATTTTGACGGGAAAGTTCATTCCGTTATAAGTGAAGTGCTCATTAATACAAAAAAAAACTTAGCTTGGTGCTGAACCCTGATTAAACTGAAAAGTATTATCTGGTGAAACGTAGCGCGAAGAACACATCGGGAACTTTCTTTTTCGGTTAATATGAAAATAGAGTGATGAACGAATCACAATAGGGGGTAGTAATTGATATGAATTGGAATGCGGCTACTCATACTAACAGGTTAACACATACATGTTACTTCGTCTTACGCAAGTTAAACAGTCTTGACCACTACTTGGACTTAAATACTCGTGTTTTTTAATTAAAAACAGTTTTTACAGAACCTGGATTATTAGAATTAGCTGTTTTTGGGTTTATCTGAAAAATTGATCAAAACAATATAAAAAATTCCGAATGCTGAAATAGATTTTTGTTTCAGGTACATCGGAAGACCTCATCGTCTATCCTGCTACATTAACTTCACTGGCTTCCAGTTTCTCAGTGTATTAAATTCAAGTCTCTGGTTTTTCTCCGCAAAAGTCGGAGTATTTGGATGGAATTGCGACTACGATACCGCAACGATTTGCAACAAACCAAGGAAAGCTAGTATACGTCTATCTATGGGACGTTCACAAAAATATGGGACAGTCTGACCCGTAGGCTTAAACTAGAATCGGATGAATTGACATAAAGGAAAAAACTGAAAACCCACCTAATCTAAAAAAAAAACTTCTTTTGAGAACAGAACACCTCTGAGAGAAGAAAAGGTGTCAAAAGAAACACATGAATGATGAACAAAAGAATGAATGAATGATAACATATCAAGAATGAAAGAACAAAACCAGGTTATCCGAGCATTGCTCTTATAATAATTTCAGCACCTTCTCTTTCACGCACTTTGGCATTCGGCATTTGTTTTGCGAAGAACCCAAAATATTGAATTTAGTTCTTAGAACAGGGCCCAACAGCGGACCTACGTAAAGAGCTGAACAGCTCGTATGTTAGCTCTTTCCCTCGCCAGGCCAATACACTGTCTTAACATAGCACACCACCATACAACGAACCAAGCCGAAGTTAAAGTCTCACAACGATAAGAGTTGAAGTATATACTGAAAAGAGCCAACAAACAGATGAAAAGAGTCTTGAAAGCAAGGTAATAGAAAAAAAACGTTCGAATTTCAAAGAAAAACTATACGACCTTGAAGCTCTTTGAAACTCAATAACAATTTATGATTAACAGTTTTTTTGATAAAATTAACCCAATTTGAGAAAACTGGACCAATAGGAAAATTTTTAATTCTGCTGGGAAATCTCAAAATTACAATTGCAAAGTAAAATTTAGAAAATAGAAGTCGATCGCGTTTTTGTGACCTTAACACTTACGCTGTTCACTAGCGGAGCTTGCCTTCTTTTTAACAAAAGAAATGAACTGAAGTGAAAAATAAATCAAAGTCAACCCACGAAAAAAAAACAGTTGAACGTGAAAAAATCCAAGACTTTCCTGAAAAGCAGAAAAAAATCACCAAGACCTACATTAGACTATTCACTACGCTGATGACTCTCAAACATTTAATTTAATGAAAGAGTCAATTGAGATCTATCTCATATATAAATCGAGTGTGTTATAACTTACTCGGGTCTTCTTGCGACTGTCCGCTGTGGTGTTGTCGTCGTCTCCTCCTTTCATGCTTCCCTTGAGGAGAAACAACTTGAGGTTCTCCAGTTGCTGTTGCTGTTTCTTCACTTCCTGCTGCTGCTCTGCGTCCATTTCATCTCTGCTTCGTTACACACACCCATGCATTCAAATCTCGCTTATCTTTCCCTCATTTCCACTACTTTAAAATCTTTCTAGACAGTCCAAGCGGAGCTAGCGAATAGAAAATGAGACGGAAATAACAAAAGCGAAAAAAATGAAAGCAATTTCAGCAAACAGTCCAAAAACACAAACACCAGTAATAAATAAGCTTTCGGTATTTACCAAGCGACACCTAAGCCGACAACAAGTGGGTAGACGCCAATTGATCTGAGAGCCAAAAAAATGCCATTAAAAATGTCATAAAAATTATGAGCTATTAAGTTTTAATATTTTGAATCTTGCAACAAAAACTACCTGAATTTTTTAAAATCAATCATTTTGTAACCAAAAACGATAACCAACCTTCAATTGAACTTTTCTTTTCAATTGAACCTTCAAGTGACACCCAATATGAAAGAAGAAAAAACGATTTTAAACAACAGCAGAGTTGGCAAAAAATAAAGTATGATCCAAGAATATAAAAAGAACTCGAAAAATAACTTCTTTTTAGCAAATTAGGCCAATAGAGAAGGTTGGAAAACTGTAAAAGATCACAGAAACCGAAAAAGAACTTATTATTAGCCAATTAGGCCAATAGAGAAGGTTGGAAAACTGTAAAAGATCACAGAAACCGAAAAAGAACTTCTTATTAGCCAATTAAGCCAATAGAGAAGGTTGGAAAACTGTAAAAGATCACAGAAACCGAAAAAGAACTTCTTATTAGCAAATTAAGCCAATAGAGAAGGTTGGAAAACTGTAAAAGATCACAGAAACCGAAAAAGAACTTCTTATTAGCAAATTAAGCCAATAGAGAAGGTTGGAAAACTGTAAAAGATCACAGAAACCGAAAAAGAACTTCTTATTAGCAAATTAAGCCAATAGAGAAGGTTGGAAAACTGTAAAAGATCACAGAAACCGAAAAAGAACTTCTTATGAGCAAATTAAGCCAAAAGAGAATGTTGGAAAACTGTAAAAGATCACAGAAACCGAAAAAGAACTTCTTATTAGCAAATTAAGCCAAAAGAGAAGGTTGGAAAACTGTAAAAGATCACAGAAACCGAAAAAGAACTTCTTATTAGCAAATTAAGCCAATAGAGAAGGTTGGAAAACTGTAAAAGATCACAGAAAACGAAAAAAGAACTTCTTATTAGCAAATTAAGCCAATAGAGAAGGTTGAAAAACTGTAAAAGATCACAGAAACCGAAAAAGAACTTCTGATTAGCAAATTAAGCCAATAGAGAAGGTTGGAAAACTGTAAAAGATCACAGAAACCGAAAAAGAACATCTTATTAGCAAATTAAGCCAATAGAGAAGGTTGAAAAACTGTAGAAGATCACAGAAACCGAAAAAGAACTTCTTATTAGCAAATTAAGCCAATAGAGAAGGTTGAAAAACTGTTAAAGATCACAAAAACCGAAAAAGAACTTCTTATTAGCAAATTAAGCCAATTGAGAAGGTTGGAAACCTGTAAAAGATCACAGAAACCAAAAAAGAACTTCTTATTAGCAAATTAAGCCAATAGAGAAGGTTGGAAAACTGTTAAAGATCACAAAAACCGAAAAAGAACTTCTTATTAGCAAATTAAGCCAATAGAGAAGGTTGGAAAACTGTAAAAGATCACAGAAACCGAAAAAGAACTTCTTATTAGCAAATTAAGCCAAAAGAGAAGGTTGGAAAACTGTAAAAGATCACAGAAACCGAAAAAGAACTTCTTATTAGCAAATTAAGCCAATAGAGAAGGTTGGAAAACTGTAAAAGATCACAGAAAACGAAAAAAGAACTTCTTATTAGCAAATTAAGCCAATAGAGAAGGTTGAAAAACTGTAAAAGATCACAGAAACCGAAAAAGAACTTCTGATTAGCAAATTAAGCCAATAGAGAAGGTTGGAAAACTGTAAAAGATCACAGAAACCGAAAAAGAACATCTTATTAGCAAATTAAGCCAATAGAGAAGGTTGAAAAACTGTAAAAGATCACAGAAACCGAAAAAGAAACTCTTATTAGCAAACTAAGCCAATAGAGAAGGTTGGAAAACTGTTAAAGATCACAAAAACCGAAAAAGAACTTCTTATTAGCAAATTAAGCCAATTGAGAAGGTTGGAAACCTGTAAAAGATCACAGAAACCAAAAAAGAACTTCTTATTAGCAAATTAAGCCAATAGAGAAGGTTGAAAAACTGTAAAAGATCACAGAAACCGAAAAAGAACTTCTTATTAGCAAATTAAGCCAATAGAGAAGGTTGGAAAACTGTTAAAGATCACAAAAACCGAAAAAGAACTTCTTATTAGCAAATTAAGCCAATTGAGAAGGTTGGAAACCTGTAAAAGATCACAGAAACCAAAAAAGAACTTCTTATTAGCAAATTAAGCCAATAGAGAAGGTTGGGAAACTGTAAAAGATCACAGAAACCAAAAAAGAACGTCTTATTAGCAAATTAAGCCAATGGAGAAGGTTGGAAAACTGTAAAAGATCACAAAAACCGAAAAAGTTTTTTCCTGAAAAAACGAAAAAAATCATCGCGACCTATATAAGAGTCTGAAATACGTTCATCAACTCTTAAAAAGGAAATGAACTGAGCTTTAAAAAGAAACCTTCAAACCGCGAAAAACCAAATTTGAGCGTGAACAGAAGTAAGACTTTCTAAAAGAAAATTATTCGACCTTTATAAGAGTCCTCATTACGTTCATTGACTCTTAATAATAAGAATAGCCAGTTGGCTGGGCAAGTAGCAAAGAAAGATCCGACGATAACAAAACACATGAGCAAAACTAATGTTTAAAATGGTGTCGCCTTTTGTTCGTGAGGTGAGAGGATGTGATACATCTGGCAAAGGGATACAACAGTTAGTATCGCAAGGGCTAAAAAGTGACTTTTTTCTGGGAAGGGTTTGTTCAAAGCTTTACATCTTTTGCCTTGCCCCTTGTGATGATGTGTGAGAGTTAGATTATGATAGTTATGAAAACATATTTGATAAAATGTGTGCTGCTGTCCTTCGTTAACTAATGAATACTTCACAATGCACTATGATTGCATTGGTGTTATTGAACAGATGGAATGCATGAGTGTGTGTGCTGCTGTCCTTCGTTAACTAATGAATACTTCACAATGCACTATGATTTCATTGGTGTTATTGAACAGATGGAATGCAAGAGTGTGTGTGCTGCTGTCCTTCCTCAACTAATGAATACTTCACAATGCACTATGATTTCATAGGTGTTATTGAACAGATGGAATGCATGAGTGTGTGTGCTGCTGTCCTTCCTCAACTAATGAATACTTCACAATGCACTATGATTTCATTGGTGTTATTGAACAGATGGAATGCAAGAGTGTGTGTGCTGATGTCCTTCCTCAACTAATGAATACTTCACAATGCACTATGATTTCATTGGTGTTATTGAACAGATGGAATGCAAGAGTGTGTGTGCTGCTGTCCTTCCTCAACTAATGAATACTTCACAATGCACTATGATTTCATTGGTGTTATTGAACAGATGGAATGCAAGAGTGTGTGTGCTGCTGTCCTTCGTTAACTAATGAATACTTCACAATGCACTATGATATCATTGGTGTTATTGAACAGATGGAATGCAAGAGTGTGTGTGCTGCTGTCCTTCCTCAACTAATGAATACTTCACAATGCACTATGATTTCATTGGTGTTATTGAACAGATGGAATGCAAGAGTGTGTGTGCTGCTGTCCTTCCTCAACTAATGAATACTTCACAATGCACTATGATTTCATTGGTGTTATTGAACAGATGGAATGCAAGAGTGTGTGCTGCTGTCCTTCCTCAACTAATGAAAATTTCACAATGCACAATGATTTCATTGGTGTTATTGAACAGATGGAATGCAAGAGTGTGTGTGCTGCTGTCCTTCCTTAACTAGTGAATACTTCACAATGCACTATGATTTCATTGGTGTTATTGAACAAATGGAATGCAAGAGTGTGTGTGCTGCTGTCCTTCCTCAACTAATGAATACTTCACAATGCACTATGATTTCAAAGGTGTTATTGAACAGATGGAATGCAAGAGTGTGTGTGCTGCTGTCCTTCCTCAACAAATGAATACTTCACAATGCACTAAGATTTCATTGGTGTTATTGAACAGATGGAATGCAAGAGTGTGTGTGCTGCTGTCTTTCCTTAACTAATGAATACTTCACAATGCACTACGATTTCATTGGTGTTATTGATTAGATGGAATGCAAGAGTGTGTGTACTGCTGTCCTTCCTCAACTAATGAATACTTCACAATGCACAATGATTTCATTGGTGTTATTGAACAGATGGAATGCAAGAGTGTGTGTGCTGCTGTCCTTCCTTAACTAATGAATACTTCACAATGCACTATGATTTTATTGGTGTTATTGAACAGATGGAATGCATGAGTGTGTGTGCTGCTGTCCTTCCTTAACTAATGAATACTTCACAATGCACTATGATTTCATTGGTGTTATTGAACAGATGGAATGCAAGAGTGTGTGTGCTGCTGTCTTTCCTTAACTAATGAATACTTCACAATGCACTATGATTTCATTGGTGTTATTGAACAGATGGAATGCAAGAGTGTGTGTGCTGCTGTCCTTCCTCAACTAATGAATACTTCAGAATGCACTATGATTTCATTGGTGTTATTGAACAGATGGAATGCAAGAGTGTGTGTGCTGCTGTCTTTCCTTAACTAATGAATACTTCACAATGCACTACGATTTCATTGGTGTTATTGATTAGATGGAATGCAAGAGTGTGTGTGCTGCTGTCCTTCCTCATTTAATGAATACTTCACAATGCACTATGATTTCATTGGTGTTATTGAACAGATGGAATGCAAGAGTGTGTGCTGCTGTCCTTCCTCAACTAATGAAAATTTCACAATGCACAATGATTTCATTGGTGTTATTGAACAGATGGAATGCAAGAGTGTGTGTGCTGCTGTCCTTCCTTAACTAATGAATACTTCACAATGCACTATG